ACAGATTTTGTCACATGGCAAGTTATGACAACACTCGGTAATGGTATGAAGGATGTCTTATTGCCATGAATTTAAATGAATTTTCACATTAATCCTGGTTAATTTTTTTTTTTTAAGCTTTCACCTAAAATTCCAACACCCAAACCTCATCAAGTGGAAGTTTGAAAAACATTTTACCTTGCAGATAATTAAATTCCATAACTCTTGACACTTCTAAGAAAAAATTATATGCAACAAGTACTTCAGACTCATTCATATTTGTTTAAAACTTATTTCGGCTGTAAAAACAAGTTCTTGAAATCTACATTATTTAAATCATTGAAAAATTCAATTCTGGTTCCTGGAACTAACCAGTGCCGGTATCATACAAGGGGTCATAGTTAAGACTCATTATGGACTCGAACTCACAATCCCTGAATAACGAGGCAGACACCATTAACCTTAACCACAAGGACTTTGCTCATTCATTATCTTATTGCAATATTTTATGTGGTGTCAGAACCTTCTAAGTTTTCCACACTATATACTCTGCTCTGGCCATAACCTTTGATAAGAAAAGTGAAAACCTTTTCTAATTACAAGATTTAAATGAAATTCCAACAGCTTGTACAAAATTACAGTTTCATTTTTCATTTTGACATATGACCTCCAAGTGTAACCTTGACTTTTAACAATAACCATATTGCCATTGTCATACATTGTATTTAAGTAACTATTACAAAAGCCCTCAATATAGATACTAGAATATTTCTGTTGTGAAAGTTTAATTATTTGACCTTTGACATATAAGTTTGACCTTGGCCTATTATTTCATGATCAGAGCACTCTTGATTAATGAAATATGTGTCATATAGACTGAAATATTCATTGAACTACTCCCTAGACTATTTCAAAATTATGATTGTTTGTGATTACGACCAAAAAAAATCAACATATTTAGTGATTAAGAATGTTTTATTATGCTGCACAACACGTGAAACCAAAATAAATAGTGACCTATAGGTTTTTTTACAATAATGAGATGAAATAGTTAAAATTTACTCAAATGTTGATAAAATGATAAAGAAATGTTTAAATAAATGTTAAAGAAAACTTAAAAGAAATAAAATTACTTAATAACTGTGAGTGAAAAGTTTAATACCAAATACCCTATTCCCTTAAAGTTGCTACTGATTGCCCAAGATACGTTCATAATTCATTAGAAGTTTTAAATGGCATGTACAGGTAGCTTAATGATACAACCATAGATAAACCCACCCAGAAAATCAATGCAGGGAAAAATTTCATTTTTTAAAACAGGATTTAAAACCCTAAACCCAAAAAGATTTAATACCTTATCATATTCCCCTTTTTAAAAATTTAAAAAATTTCAAAAAATGACATTTACCTTTTTTCATGAAAAAACAATTTAAAATCTTGGGAAATTTAAACAAATTTTAATAACAACCTTTAATTTGGGACAGTTTTATACATTTTATCAACATCAAAAAACCAAAAACACTAATTTAATCCCCAAACTTTAAACCTTTTTCATGTTTTAAAAAATTAAGAACCAAAAGTTTCATCAGCCCCAAAACCAAAAGCCCCAAAACCCCAACCCCTTGACCTTTTTACATGTTATTAACAATAATGAACTTCACCATGTATACATCGGCACAAAATACCAAATGCACCCACTAACCTCAAACACTTGACCTTTGACATGTTGTACACATTACTGAACTTCACCATGTATACATCGGCACAAAATACCAAATGCACCCATTAACCTCAAACACTTGACCTTTGACATGTTGTACACATTACTGAACTTCACCATGTATACATCGGCACAAAATACCAAAATGCACCCATAAACCTCAAAGACTTGACCTTTGGCATGTTTGTACACATTACTGAACTTCACCATGTATACATCGGCACAAAATACCAAAATGCACCCATTAACCTCAAAGACTGACCTTTGGCATGTTGTACACATTACTGAACTTCACCATGTATACATCGGCACAAAATACCAAAATGCACCCATTAACCTCAAAGACTGACCTTTGGCATGTTGTACACATTACTGAACTTCACCATGTATACATCGGCACAAAATACCAAATGCACCCATAAACCTCAAAGACTTGACCTTTGGCATGTTGTACACATTACTGAACTTCACCTTGTATACATCAGTATCAAATACCATATGCACTCATTTGACCTCAAACACTGGGCATGTTGTTCACATTAATGAACTTCACCTTGTATATACATCAGTATCAAATACCATATGCACTCATTTGACCTAAAACACTTGGCATGTTGTTCACATTAATGAACTTCACCTTGTATACATCAGTATCAAATACCATATGCACTCATTTGACCTAAAACACTTGGCATGTTGTTCACATTAATGAACTTCACCTTGTATACATCAGTATCAAATACCATATGCACTCATTTGACCTAAAACACTTGGCATGTTGTTCACATTAATGAACTTCACCTTGTATACATCAGTATCAAATACCATATGCACTCATTTGACCTAAAACACTTGACATGTTGTTCACATTAATGAACTTCACCTTGTATACATCAGCACCAATACCAAGTGCACTCATTTGACCTCAAACACTTGACCTTGGACATGCTGTACACATTAATGAACTATACAATGTGTCTTATTAATATCTGAGCATGACCTTGACTCATAAGTACTGCTTAGATCTTGACCTCTACAAGCGACCTTTGACATTGTCCAATGCAATGCTGCTTTAACAACATAATATACTGTTATTCAATGTTTTGACCTTTGACTGTTTCCAAATATGACCATGACCTTTTTTATCATTTATCTGTACTTAACATACACACAAAATTAATGCCTGGTTAAAAATTAATGCCACTTTTACTTGGTAAAATTGAAAACAAGAGGGCCATGATGGCCCTAGATCGCTCACCTGAATTATCAAACTCATCCAAACAATTACCTAGACAAGCATTCTGACCAAGTCTCATGACAGGTGAGTCAAAAATGTGACCACTACAGTGTTAACAAGGATTATCCATATTTGAGCAGTGCGACCTAGTTTTTTACCCAGGTGACACATATTCAAACTTGACCTAGAAATCATCAAAACAAACTTTCAGACCAATTTCCAGGATACTTGGATCAAAACAGTAGCAACTAGAGTGTTAACAAGATTTTTCTATTTTTAGCTCCGGTGACCTAGTTTCACATGCGATTTCGAACTCATCCAAGCAATTACCTAGACAAGCATTCTGACCAAGTTTGATGATAATGGAGTCGAAAATGTGACCACTAGAATGTTAACAAGGTTTTTCCATATTTGGGCGGTGTGACCTAGTTTTTCATCCAAGATGACCCATGTTCGATCTTGACTTAGAAATCATCAAAACAAACTTTCAGACCAATTAACAGAATATTTGGATCACAACAGTAGCCACTAGAGTGTTAACAAGGATTATCCATATTTGAGCAGTGCGACCTAGTTTTTTACCCAGGTGACACATATTCAAACTTGACCTAGAAATCATCAAAACAAACTTTCAGACCAATTTCCAGGATACTTGGATCAAAACAGTAGCAACTAGAGTGTTAACAAGATTTTTCTATTTTTAGCTCCGGTGACCTAGTTTCACATGCGATTTCGAACTCATCCAAGCAATTACCTAGACAAGCATTCTGACCAAGTTTGATGATAATGGAGTCGAAAATGTGACCACTAGAATGTTAACAAGGTTTTTCCATATTTGGGCGGTGTGACCTAGTTTTTCATCCAAGATGACCCATGTTCGATCTTGACTTAGAAATCATCAAAACAAACTTTCAGACCAATTAACAGAATATTTGGATCACAACAGTAGCCACTAGAGTGTTAACAAGATTTTTCTATTTTTAGCTCCTGTGACCTAGTTTTTCATCCGAGATGTCCCATGTTCGATTTATTCCCAGCAATGACCTAGACAAGTTTCCTGACCAAGTTTGATGACAATTGAGTCAAATTGTGACCACTAGAGTGTTAACAAGGTTTTTCTATTTTTAGCTCCTGTGACCTAGTTTTTCATCCGAGATGACCCATGTTCGAACTCATCCGAGTTATTACCTAGACAAGCATCTTGATCAAGTTTGATGATGATTGATGCAAAAATGTGACCGCTAAAGTGTTAACAAGGTTTTTCTATTTTTAGCTCCGGTGACCTACTTTTTCATCCGAGATGACCCATGTTCGAACTCATCCAAGCTATCAACTAGATAAGCATCCTGACCAAGTTTGATGATGATTGATGCAAAAATGTGACCGCTAGAGTGTTAACAAGGTTTTTCTATTTATAGCTCCGGTGACCTAGTTTTTCATCCGAGATGACCCATATTCGAACTCATCCGAGCTATTATCTAAACAAGCATCCTGACAAAGTTTGATGATGATTGGGTCAAAAATGTGACCACTAGAGTGGTCACAAGGTTTTTCTATTTTTAGCTCCTGTGACCTAGTTTTTTCATCAGAGATGACCCATGTTCGAACTCATCCAAGCAATTGACTAGACAAGCATTCTGACCAAGTTTGATGATGATTGGTTCAAAAATGTGACCACTAGAGTGTTCACAAGGTTTTTCTATTTATAGCTCCTGTGACCTACTTTTTCATCCGAGATGACCCATGTTCGAACTCATCCCAGCTATCACCTAGACAAACATCCTGACCAAGTTTGATGAAGATTGGGTCAAAAATGTGACCTCTAGAGTGTTCACAAGGTTTTTCTATTTTTAGCTCTTGTGACCTAGTTTTTCATCTGAGATGACCCATGTTCGAACTCATCCGAGCTTTCAACTAGATAAGCATCCTGACCAAGTTTGATGATGATTGAGGCAAAAATGCGACCGCTAGAGTGTTCACAAGCAATTGTGGACGGCCGGACGGACGACGGACATTCATCGATCCTAAAAGCTCACCCTGAGCAAGCTCAGGTGAGCTAAAAAACTAAATGGGCATGCAATAAATAAAAATGAAGGATGATATTGACCTTTGACCAACTTAGAGCTGCAGAAGCTTTTGAAATATATAATTTTATCAAAATGTAAGGTAAATAACCAGACTTTGAATATATGCTTTGAGTAAAATTACTAAAAGATACCCCCATAGAAACTACAAAAAAGTTGTAGTTTAAACATTTGACAAACTAGAAATGTGTCCATAGGACACGGATGCCCCCACACGCCACTGTTCTGTCAATCTTATGACTCAAGGTCAAATATCTTTTGGACCACATGTGAAACAAGTTGAAAACTAAAAATCAACAAAGGGCCATAGTTCTGTTAAATTTGGTCGCAGCAAAAATTCCTTCCTTTACTACCATCTACACATTAAGGTTGTTAATCCCTGGAAGTTTAAGCAAAATCTGCCATCCGGTTTAAGAGGAGTTGCATTCACAAAATTTCTACATAGTATATAGTGAAAAAATCAACAAAGGGCCATAATTCTGTTAAATTTAGTCGCAGCAAAAATTCCTTCCTTTACTACCATTTACACATTAAGGTTGTTCATCCCTGTAAGTTTAAGCAAAATATGCCATCCGGTTTAAGAGGAGTTGCGTTCACAAAATTTCTACATAGTATATAGTGAAAAAATCAACAAAGGGCCATAATTCTGTTAAATTTGGTCGCAGCAAAAATTCCTTCCTTTACTACCATCTGCACATTAAGGTTGTTTATCCCTATAACTTTAAGCAAAATCTGTCATCCGGTTTAAGAGGAGTTGCGTTCACAAAATTTCTATATAGTATATTGTGAAAAAATCAACAAAGGGCCATAATTCTGTTAAATTTGGTCACAGTGAAAAATTCCTTCCTTTACTACCATCTACACATTAAGGTTATTCATCCCTGTAAGTTTAAGCAAAATCTGCCATCCGGTTTAAGAGGAGTTGTGTTCACAAGATTTCGGGAAGTACGTACGGACGGACAGACAGACAGACGGACGGACAAGTGCAACGCTATATGCTCCCACATTGTGGGGGCATAATAAATCTTTGTAAAAACTAATTCAATGGCATAAATTAGTTGGAAAATTATATGTTATCTTATTAAAAGTGATAGTACACATTTGAAAGGTTCAAATCAACACTGCATGAAGCAATACTAGCTGTCATCATGGTCATTAACTGACAAATTATATCGCACCCTAACACTGATGTTTTGAACCCTCCTATTTCATATAAACATTTTGGTTATTAAAAAAAAAATGGCACATAAAAATGGCACATAAAAATCTATTTTTTACGTACATAAACAGACAAAATTTCATTAGAAAAATAAAGAAGGCATATCTAGCTAAACACTAAATTTTCATACATGTAGATAAATATAAAAAAGAAAAGAAAATAAAGAAAGCATCTAACTAAACACTTATTATTTTCCTAATAAAAGCCTTCATCATAAAACACTTGAAACAGTTGCATTCACTATGTTTGTTATATTGTTCACACTGATAGCATCATTCATTGTTGCCATAGTTACATTCATGATGACCGTACCGTTTGCTCCGGCTATACATAAATCCACAGGCTCATCAACCAATAGCAAACCTGAAAATTAAATTCTCAGTATGTACAGGTAGATCATACTGATGTGTCTATATAACAGTTTTAATTCTTACTTTGAACTTATGAAATAGAGTTATTCAATGGTTTTTGCGTTTACATTGCAGTATCCAATATATCCTATATTGGAATGCTATACATATGTATGTACATAACAGGTTATACTTTACTTTTTTTAGCTTGATAAATCACATTAGGCATGCATACTGCAAGCCAGGTATTTTTTCTTCAGCACTAAGCTTGTGTATTCCACTGTTTTATTGTTCAATATTAAACAACCTGTAGTTATGTGTTTAATCTTGAAAACAACTAAATGATAGGGTTGAAGACAACTATATCATCTCTCAAAGCACTATAGAGAAATTGTTAACTAACATGGTGAAATGCATCCAAAAGGGGCATGTACACATTATCAAATTTTTTACTTACCAGCAATAGAGGCGGTAATTAGACATGTGACCACACCTCCTAGGAGTGATCTCAACACGATAGTAGCAATGTGGCCACGCCTCTCAGGAGCCATTGATCCTAAAGCTCCCATCTGGACACCAATTGACCCAAGATTGGAGAAGCCGCAAAGAGCGTATGTTGCTATCACTTGAGATCTGATCTGAAATAAAATGGTGATCTAAAATTACATCAATGTAAGATTATATAATAAAAGGCATCTTTAATATACCTTTTACTTAATTGCTTTGAAAGAATTGTATAACCATTTACCATACAGTAGTCCTGCCTCTGTTTCTACCATCTTGTATGGTATGGTTAAACCTTTTAACAGTACATGTATACTGTTACACTCTTACTATTTAGATTTTATTTGACTTTCCTGTTTGTCTATAGATATACTATGGTGGCTGAGTTTTATAACCAGCAATATTGTCTTTTTTATTGTGTTGTCTGACGCTGAGCATCATTTGTCATTTCGTCTGACGCTGAGCATCATTTGTCATTTCACCTTCTGCTAGCAAAATCACTGGGCGGTAACAATTTTTGTTGAACTGCAAGTTAATATGTGTTGTCATCTTTTCCTTTTTTCACGAAATGCTGCATGATAATGTACCAGACAACAAACTATTTAAAATGCACTAATTGTTAGAGCAGCTGTTTAAATGGCGTCCTCTTATGGTTTGAGCTAGGGACAATATGCCACACAATATCACAAAACCAAATGAATTAGACAGATATCAAGAATGTCATTTAAATCTTATAAATATATAAATATGGGAAGTAACTCTTACATCACACTGGAGAATGCCAAATAAATATATAACCAATTTCATGGAGTACTTACTTTGTATTACTTGAAAATGCCAAAAAAGAAGAAAATCACCCGGAAGTGAAAAATTTAAATACAATCCTTTGGTCAATATAATATATCATAAACAATTTACTTTAATTAAAGTTGGGTTTTACTTTAATTAAAGTAGAATGTATTTCAAAATCCTGAAAACACAAATCAGTTATGTCATTTTCACAGTGAGTAATATATTCCATATCTCACTAATAAAACATATTAACATATATGATACATATTGAACTGTGAACTTACTGAGAGATATTCCCCACTACATGTTGACCTGTTCTCAATAAATTTTGCAAGTTCCTTGTAGGCAACAAACTCATTCAAGAAAGTTTTGATTCCGACCAATTCTCCCACAACACCTGCATCTGACCATTCCACGCCCATTAAATATGCCATTGGCATAAAAATGTATGAACAGATCAACTGAAATATAAAATTTACACATTTTTATAACTATGGTTTTTCTAAATTCATGTTTACAAATTCATTCATCTTTTTCATAATCAATTTGTAAATGTAAAAACTGTAATGTACAGTAAGTTTTTTTGAATAATAGTAAGTGATATTAGTAACTAATTAGGTACTCATAAAAATACAGTCCATTATTACACCTCTTCTTCAAATAAAGTATTTCTATTGAGATCATTTTTTTCTATTTAATAATACTTAACATTTAATATATACTAGATATAGTTTTGGGGTGTTACGTTTATCTGTTTAATCGTGTATGGTTGGTTTTTAGCTGAAATCTGGTTAGAAAATTAAATAACTGGTAACTGAGGTTGCTTATTGTCAAAGAGAAGATTCTGAAAAAGTTTTAAATTGATTATAAACATTACGTTAGTTTCTTATAACAAGATATGACATTTTGTTTATCTTTTAGTTGTTCTCAACAATAACAATGTATTTTTCGGATCTGATCGTTAACGGTACGACCCTAACGAAAAAATAGTCATTCCATACTCGCATATGTATTGTAAAAGAAAATGTGAATCACAATGTCATATCTTGTCATAAAGAAACAAACTTAATGTTGAAAATCTAAGGATTTTTAAGTGTGGTCGGTTAAAAGTTTAACATGATTATCTTGTCTCCGTTTAAATGGTTAGCATTTATTCTAACCATGACACCCCTAATAAAGTTACCCTGTTTATAAAATTTAACTGTCAGACGGCAGTGCTTTGGTACATATTTTTTTTTAAATAACTGTAATATAAATAAAGTAAATAAATGTTTACCTGGAAGGAGAATTCAGGATGACAAACAAAGCTTCCTAGCCAGGACAAGATGGCATTTACAAATGCCAATAATGATAGGAAGGCAATAAGATTGGCAGCAATATTAGCAACCAGTTTGATGGAGGCTGACGCGCCAGCAGCTGCAGCATCTATAATATTTCTCTCCTTACTGAAATGTAAAAAAAAAAATTGGCAATATTAATCATGACACAGGATGAAGTAATGGCTGCTGAAGGTTCTTATCGTATTTATTTTCATCCTGAAATAAAAATGTTACATTGGCAATAATCATGACATCATAATGAAACATTGGCCTCAGTGCTGCTGTCTTAAATATTTTTGCACTTCCTTAAATAGGAATGTAATATCAGCAAAATAGCTAGATTGCTACATAACAGAGCATTGGCCTAAAAGAAGCAGTCTCAATAATGATTGATTCCCTTCCTGAAATATAAAACTAATATTAGCAATAAATAATGGCACAGAATATAGAATTGAATTCTGTAAGTGCTGCCACCAGCAATCCATTCTCTCCCTTTCTCTAAAAGAAACGTAATATTGAAACTAAATATGATACCAAATGGGGCATTGAGTGATACAGCCACAATAATGTGTATCCCTTTTCTGAAATAGAATTTTAATCATGATACATGTGAAGTAACCACTAAAAATGCGACGCACTAAAAATAAGTATGAAAACAAATCAGGTGCAATTTAGATAAGTATCAGGTATGGCAGCATTTATTTGTTGATGTCGTGTTAGCATTGAAATAATATATTCAAATCGGTGATTTTATCGCCTTCGTGAATAACTCCTCACATTCGAACTCCAAACAGTGATTTTATTGAGCAATAAAATCACTGTTTGGGATGTATTATTTCTTAAATAACGTAACATAACGTAATTTGACATAACATAACAGTATATTTCTTTGAAAATAAGGCCACTCACCCATAATATACAATGCAACATGAGAAAATAATCATCTTAAATGACTAGTATCAGTTTCAATCAGGGGACTAAGACTCATAAATCATGTGTAAATGTTAAGAAATTTTTACCTTTCTCCCATGTCAACATCAGATATTTTTCTGATTTTACTCTTTTCTGTCTCAGGATACAATAACTTAGATACTGCTAGAGCACCAGGTGCGTTCATCACTGATGCACATAGTAAATGTTCAGGTGGTACCTGCAAAACAGATAAAATCAGTTATGAACAAGAGCCCAGTTTGAGCCGGGTGATGCTCCCCAAATAGGTTTTGGACACAGGAAAGTACACTTCTTGTAGTTTCAGAGTTATATCCCTGGAATAAGTTCAAAGTGCAATAATTCCAATACTATACAAGGCAGAGTTACTGTTCTTTGCACTTCACTTCTAATCAATGTGATCTATGAACCTACAAAGTTTCTTGTTGATACCTCTTATGGTTTCCGAGTTATGTCCCGGACAAAGTTCAAAATGTAAAAATGAACATAGGACAATAACTCCAAAATTTGGCAAGGCGGAGTTCAAGTTCTTAAGCACTGCACATCTACCCATTGAGATCCATCTACCTACAAAGTTTCATGTTGATATCTCTTGTAGTTTTACAGTTATTTCCCAGACAAGATTTTTTTAAAAGGGGAGATAATTCAAAAATTGGGTAAAACAGAGTTATGTTATTTAGTAATGCACTTTTACTCAATGAGATCTAACTAACAACAAAGTTTCATGTTGATATCTCTTATAATTTTAGAGTAATGTCCCAGACAAAGTTCAAAAAGTAACAAGAGGGCCATGATGGCCCTGAGGTCGCTCACCTGTATGTAGGCCCCCTGGAGCGGGGCCAGTTTAAACCTCAGGGCTTTTATTTGAACAAACTTGGTAGACACTCAAATGAAGATGTTTCATGCTAAACATCTAAGCTCTAGCTAATTGGGTTTTTTAAAAGAAGATTTTTTAAGTTTTTACTATATGCATACAGGGAAAATCAAAGACCCGCTGGGGTGGGGCCAATTTTGACCCCAGGGCTTTTATTTGAACAAACTTGGTAGACACTCACTAGAAGATGTTTCATGCCAAATATCTAAGCTCTAGCTCTTTGGGTTTTTTAAAAGAAGATATTTAAAGTTTTTTCTTTCGGTTGCCATGGCAACCAGAGTTCTGCATGGAATTAAATTCTTTGAACAATTTTTAAAGGTGACCACCAAAGGAACATTCCTGTGAAGTTTGGATGAAATTGGCTAGTTGGTGTATGAGGAGATGTCATTTAAAGTAAAAGTTTACGGACGGACAGACGGACGGACGCCGGACGAAAAGCGATCACAAAAGCTCACCCTGACACTTTGTGACAGGTGAGCTAAAAATAAACAAAGTGCAATAACTCTAAAATTAGTCAAGGCAGAGTTATGATTCTTGTGCTGCACATCAACCCATTGAGATAATATCTACCTACAAAGTTTCATGTTGATATCTCTTATAATTTTAGAGTAATGTCCAGGACAAGATTTTCTATAAGGGGAGATAATTCATAAACCGGGCAAAATAGAGTTATGATTCTTTGATACTGCACTCCCCCTCAATGCCCTCTACCACTGTATGAAGTTTAAGGGTTTTCAAGTTATGCTCCGGACAAGACAACGGACGGACAGAAGGACGGACGACCAAAAAGGCGACTATGTGCTCTCCCTTCGGGGAGCATTAAAATAGTTCACAAAATTATAAACATGACTTTTTAATGTTATAATTAATATTTTTTGTGGGTTATGTAAGTCATATGGCAACTTTCCACCTTTAATGTGAAGGAAGACCCCTCAGATTCCCCAAATTCATGTAGACTCAAAGAGTCCCTTATCATTTATTGCCTACGTCTAACAGAGTTTCATTCCTGCTGACAAATATAAACTAAAGAAATTGTTAATTCAATATTAACAAAACTGTTAAGCGCACCATAATTCTCAATTATTTAGATTGAAAGAACTTTAATCATAGTACAAAATATTATGTCACGCTTACATAAGAAACATTAAAGCCAAAAGTGGAATATTTACCCCAATTTAGTAGCATAAAAGCCAAAAGTGGAATATTTACCCCAATTTAGAAGCATAAAAACCAAAAGTAGAATATTTACCCCAATCTAGAAGCATTAAAGCCAAAAGTGGAATATTTACCCCAATTTAGAAGCATTAAAGCCAAAAGTGGAATAATTACCCCAATTGAGAAACATTTAAGCAAATAGTGGAATAATTACCCCAAAGGAGATGTAAGCTGCCATCACTCCTCCAGCAATTGTAGCAAATCCTCCAGTCATAACAGCATTTAGCTCCGACTTTGTCATTAGCAGCATAAATGGACGAATCATGATGGGTGCCTCAGTCTGAAATAAAGTCCATAAAGATGAAATACTCAAAAATGGCCACCTTAAATTTATCTTTCAATGGTTACAATCATATACATTTTGCTCTTTTCTGACAATTTCTAGTTAACCCATACTCCATGAGCATTTTGACATTGTGAAAAATATCTGTTTTCGTTGAAAAGCCTCCTGTTGCAAGTTCAAAAATCTATGAAACTATAAAAAATGCTTCAATACTGATCAACCTTGGCACAAATGTTTACTGGACCATAGCCTTAATGTAACGGCATGCTCAATCTTAAAGTTCATGTTGCCATGACAACAAGGGGACACCTCAAAACTACCAAAAATCACAATTTTGTGTTGAATTTTTCAATCAAAACAGATTTCAAAGTGTTGCAACTTCTCAATGGATTGAGATAGAGTCAAAGGCTTTTCAGTATTGGTTACACCTCAACCTGAGGCTATTTTAGCCTCTCACAAGTCCAAAATTTTCTTGGCATTTCAAAACCCGTAGCAGGAGAGGGCACATTCCTTCTCTGGCACCACCCTGATGTATCTTTTTGATAGGGGGTGGCGCCAAAAAAAGTGACCACTTTTTTTAACAACATATCTCAAACAAAAAAAAACAGCGATCAGTGATCACATGTGTCGCCTCATGATGGCCAATTTCATGTTGGGACAAGTTTTGTGACAGACAGATGGACAGACAGACGGACAGTGCACAACTAGACTTAGTACTGATCATTCCTGTAAAGTTTGGATAAAATTGCACCAGTAGTTTATGAGGAGTAATCCGGACAAGCTTTTGTGTATCTGGCAACACACAGAAAAAAACACCTTTTTATCAAAGGGCCATAACTCGGCCAAAAATCATTCAACCGGAAAACCCGTGCAATATGCGCAAGGACTTGAGCTACAGATCAATCCTGTAAAGTTTCATTGAAATTGCATTAGTGGTATAAGAGAAGTAGTCCGGACAAACTTTAAAAATAAAAATTATTAAAGGGCCATAACTCTGACAAAAATCATTGAACCAGAAAATGCTGACAATATGCACAACTAGATTTAGTACTGATCATTCCTGTAAAGTTTGGATAAAATTGCACCAGTAGTTTATGAGGAGTAGTCCGGACAAGTTTTGTGACGGACGGACAGACAGACAGACGATGGAGAAGAGGCGACACAACAAGTGTTTGGGGCGTAAATAAGGCATTTTTTTCACTATTTGAGTCCTAAAAAGAAAGAGGGTCCAAAAAGTGTTAAATCACATATAATTATATGAGGTAAAGGGTTCAACATTATTATAGCTTATGTATAATTTTAAAAATATAAATTGAAAACTAGAAATGTGTCATCATGCCACGGATGCCCCCGCACGCAGCCAAAATTTCAGATGGTGCATTAATTATTCTTTTCATTTTAAGTTCAAAGCCCTTAAAACTTTTCAATGTTAACACAAACCATTTTCATACAATGTTCAAGGCACTGAAATAATTCAGTCTTGACCTTTTAAAAATAGCATATTGCATATTTGTAGCCAAAATAATGGCTAAAAGTATGAGTGCTGAAACTGAAAGTTCAAAACCACGACCAAATTCAAACTTAAAATGCTTATTCCTAAGATGTATCTATATTATTTTCAAAGTGAAAGGGACATAACTCTGCCAAAAAATCATCAAACCATGACCAAATTCCAACTTGATCTGCCCATTCCTTTGACATATCCATATGTCAAATTTAAGTAGAATATTTAACACTATTGGGTAGATAATGAACAGAAACTGTAAATTTCATGTTATTTTCAAAGTGAAAGAGGCATTACTCTGCCAAAAATCATTGAACCATGACCAAATTCGAACTTGACCTGGGCATTCCAAAAACATATCCATATGTCAAATTTGAGTTGAATGTGTTGTACCATTGGGGAGATAATAAACGGAAACTAAAAAGTTTCATATTATTTTCAAAGTAAAAGGGGCATAACTCTGCCAAAAATCATCGAACCATGACCAAATTCGAACTTGACCTGTATTTTCTCATTTCATATCCATATGTAAAGTTTGAGTTGAATGTGTTATACCGTTGGGGAGATAATGGACGGAAACTGAAAATTTCGTATTATTTTCAAAGTAAAAGGGGCATAACTCTGCCAAAAATCATCGAACCATGACCAAATTCGAACTTGACCTGTATTTTCTCATGACATATCCATATGTCAAATTTGAGTTAAATGTGTTGTACCATTGGGGAGATAATGAACGGAAACTGAAAATTTCATATTATTTTCAAAGTAAAAGGGGCATAACTCTGCCAAAAATCATCAAACCATGACCAAATTCAAACTTGACCTGTACTTTCTCATGAAATATCCATATGTCAAGTTTGAGTTGAATGTGTTGTTCCGTTGGGGAGATAATGAACGGAAACTGAAATTTCATATTATTTTCAAAGTAAAAGGGGCATAACTCTGCCAAAAATCATCGAACCATGACCAAATTCGAACTTGACCTGTATTTTCTCATAACATATCCATATGTCAAATTTGAGTTGAATGTGTGCAACCGTTCTTAAGATAATGAACGGAAACTGATGATGACGGAATGACAGAATGACGGAAGGACGGAAGGATGGAAGGACGGAAGGACGGAATGACGGAACAGGGTAACACTATATGCCCCGGCCATTACATGGCAGGGGCATAATTAAGTTAGACCATAATAATCAATCAATTTATTAGAAAATTAATAGCCAATTTTAGCATTAAATTGAATGATTGTACCATATAGGTCAATGGCAAATTAAGTTTGACCTACTAAAAAGTAATATTCCTGGCCTACTTAAAATTAATATCTAACTAAGCCTTGCTATATACAAGTATGAATACAATACACTCAGTTAGAAGTTATAGCTTATTACAGAAAAATTCAGCAAAACTCAAAGAATTTACCTTGAGGGTCAAGGTTATTTATTGGACTCAATGTCAAATTCCTTATGACATGCCCAAAAAAAACCTCATTACAATAATTATTACTCCCTTTTCAGTTTTATTATGCAATGTAATTGGTTGAGTAGTTTTGAAGAACCTGAGACACAAGACTGCATGGTTTAAAAAATGTGAAAATCCTGAATTTAGCAATTTTTATCCTGAATTTAGCAATTTTTATAGTTTTAAAAAGAAAAAGATTGCTTTCAGGAGTCTGAAAATCTTGGACTGCAGGTATTCTCCTGGAAACTTTCACTCATGAGATTGTGTGTAGGCCCAGTCAGGCATCCAGGCAGATGGACAGCCTCATACCAAGATTATGACTGCGTGCCTTACATTTTTCATTGTATGAGAGTGAAAATAAAGGTACATAAGAGATTTGTTAACATAAATCTATAATGTAAAACACAAAAATATAACAGTACATTTATTAAAGCATTTAATTGTTACACTTGTCTTGCATGGAATAAAGTCATTTCAAAAGTTTATATGTCACTTATTCTTAAGGTCACTGAATACTTCACATAAGGTCACTGAGCACTGATTACTACAATTAAATCACAGTGTGTGTTAAAATATTTAAATACGGTAGTTAAGACCATTTTAATGCCAATTTATCTGTATATAGAATTACCTGATAAAATTTCATTCATGAATTATCAAGTTTAAACTTAAATAACTAAGTACGGTAGGTTTAAAGTAATTCTTTAAGTTAACAATGGATCTTTGATTAAATGTATTAATCTCCTGATTTCTAAAGCATTGGCAGGTGTAGTGTGGTCTAAAAAAATACTGGTGCATGACAAAATAGTGCTTGAATTTAAACTTGTCTATATTTTTTCATTCTTCTTACTTAAAAAATCAATAATAATTTAGTATAATTTACAATCTTGACTTTTTAACAATGACAAATGGGACATTGGAATTTGAAGCTTTTGTATTAGAATAATACGGAAGTTTGGGATATACATTTGAAGCTTTTTGTATTATGCAAAAGAAGGAAGAAGTTTGAAGGTAACTTTAAAGTTTAGAATTGTACACAAATAAGAATTGCTGCAATTTGGATTTCTACGAAAATGAAATTATCAAAAAGTGCTCAATTCTATAGTAGCTACTTCTAACCTTCATAATTCTAAAAGCAACACACATACCAACTTAAAGAATTATTACAATCACAAGTGCAAGTCATTTACACTGAAATCTACTATGAAAGTTTAATAAAGACTAAAACTACAGACTAAAAAATATTTTAATAAACAGAAAGAAATATCAACATAAATCAAACGGGAAGTTTTAAATTTTTTCAGGAAATGGCTATTCCATAGTTATAAAGAATGGAAATTGTCTAGCAAGAGTGATATTTTCTAATGGCAAAAGTAATGGATTGAAAAAGTGATTCCTGGAAACAGATGATTTGTCAACTAAAGGTTTATCCCCACTGTGAATGGTCAAAATAAAAAAAGAGAAAAAAAAAGAGAAAATGTTGTCGGAATTGATCGAGAGGGGCGACAGTGTTTAAAATCAAAAGGTGGCCTTTGAATAAAGAAATGCATGGAATAAACTTAGTTTTACATAAAATTTATCAACAAATAGTATACTTCACATCATCAGTGATTTAGTGTAACCACTACAACCAATAAAAGTTATGTCTCATAAGGGGGAGAATTTCGCAGCCTTTACTGTGCTCTTACTAGTCGCAATAAATGTTGCGGGTCTAGGGATACCCGTGTGGTATAACAAAGAACATAAGCATAGTGTGAATACGACTGTTGAAAAACCCAACTGTGTTGTACACGTGAACGTTCGGGAAGGCTTGTGGCAAAGATACTGTATAGAAAGCAGGGTAGAGAACTGTGAATTGGATGTTCAAGGTGCGTTACTATTTTTATACATGTACTCATGAATTATAGTGTGTTACTATTTTTATATTTTTTGCCAAAATCATCTTCATAGTCTTCAAAATAATAAACATTTCATGAAGGGACATTTTATAAATAAACCGTAGTTCAGCATTATGGCCAATATGGCGTCTGGTAAAACCATGTACAGATCACATATGGGCTTAAAACAGTCTTTAGGAAACTCAGCAACTTTGTACAATAGGTTCTGCAATATTTAATTTTCAGGGTCAAATTAGACAGCCTTGTTATTATTCATTTCTTCTAGAATACTCTTATATAACAAGAGCGACCAGTGATTACATGTGTCGCCTCATGATGGCCAATTTCATGTTGGGACAAGTTTGTTCAATGAATTTTGTCAGAGTTATGGCCCTTTAATAATTTTTATTTTTAAAGTTTGTCTGGACTACTTCTCTTATACCACTAATGCAATTTCAATGAAACTTTACAGGATTGATCTGGCTAGCTCAAGTCCTTGGGCATATTGCACGGGTTTTCCGGTTGAATGATTTTTGGCCGAGTTATGGCCCTTTGATAAAAAGGTGTTTTTTCCTGTGTGTTGCCAGATACACAAAAGCTTGTCCGGACTACTCCACATAAACTACTGGTGCAATTTCATCCAAACTTTACAGGAATGATCAGTACCAAGTCTAGTTGTGCATATTGTCAGCATTTTCCGGTTCATGATTTTTGTCAGAGTTATGGCCCTTAAATAATTTTTAGCTCGACTATTCGAAGAATATGAGAGCTATTGTAGTCGCCCCGGCGTCGGCGTCAGCGTCCACGTCGGCGTCTGCGTTGGTTAAAGTTTTTTGTAAAGTCAAATATCTCAATTATTACTTGAGATATTCAATTGAAACTTACAATACTTATTAATAGTAACAAGGTACATCAGATAGACAAGTTTGATAACTCTGCCTACAATATTGACAGAATTATGCCCCTTTTTAACTTAGAAATTTTGGTTAAAGTTTTTTGTAAAGTCAAATATCTCAATTATTGCTTGAGATATTCAATTGAAACTTACAATACTTATTTATAGTAACAAGGTACATCAGATTGACAAGTTGGATAACTCTGACTATAATATTGACAGAATTATGCCCCTTTTTAACTTAGAAATTTTGGTTAAAGTTTTTTGTAAAGTCAAATATCTCAATTATTGCTTGAGATATTCAATTGAAACTTACAATACTTATTTATAGTAACAAGGTTCATCAGATTGACAAGTTGGATAACTCTGCCTACAATATTGACAGAATTTTGCCCCTTTGGAACTTAGAAATTTTGGTTAAAGTTTTTTTGTAAAGTCAAATATCTCAATTATTGCTTGAGATATTCAATTGAAAATTAAAATACCTTTTTATAGTAACAATGTACATCAGTTTGCAAAATTGCATAACTCTGCCTGCAATATTTGCAGAATTATTTGCCCCTTTGAAACTTAGAAATTTTGGTTAAAGGTTTAAGGTCTTCAAAGATATTTACTTGAAACTTTACACATGCACTTAGGGTCATAATTGGAGGGTCATAATTTTATGTCACTGACCAAGTTCCATAACTCTATCTTGCATTAAGGCTGATTCATATCCCCTTTTCTACTTAGTCTCTTGGTTAATGTTTACATGCAAGTTTTACATATCTCAATAACTATTAAAGATATTTATTTAAAACTTCACATATGCATTTAGGGTCATAATTGTAGGTCACTGACAAAGATCCATAATTCTATCTGCATTTAGGCTGATTTTTCTCCCCTTTTTCAACTTAGAAATTCATTTGTAAGCTGTTATCTCAATAACTACTAAAGGGTTTGTGCCTTTTTTTGGGACAATTTTATGCATTCATAATAATTAAGCAGTGATTAACTTGATAAAACATCTTAATAACAAGCCTTTGTACCTTTTCTGTCAAATTTATGTATTCATAGGTAATTAGTATTATTATACTCAATAAAACACCCTTGTGACATTACCTTCCGAATAGTCAAGCCAATACTGTTTAATTAGACTCTCTCTAAGGCCTATAACAAGAATTTATAAAAAAAATTAGCCCTTTTGTAAACTTCAAAAATTTAACATTATCAAGGCTCTTTTACTATCAAGCACTTAGAATAGTCGAGCGTGCTGTCCTTAACACAGACAGCTCTTGTTATTTTTAAAGTTTGTCCGACTACTTCTCTTATACCACTGATGCAATTTCAATGAAACTTTACAGGATTGATCTGTAGCTCAAGTCCTTGCGCATATTGCACGGGTTTTCCGGTTGAATGATTTTTGGCCGAGTTATGGCCCTTTGATAAAAAGGTGTTTTTTTCTGTGTGTTGCCAGATACACAAAAGCTTGTCCGGACTACTCCTCATAAACTACTGGTGCAATTTCATCAAAACTTTACAGGAATGATCAGTACCCAGTCTAGTTGTGCACTGTCCCTCTGTCTGTCCGTCTGTCACAAAACTTGTCCCAACATGAAATTGGCTATCATGAGGCAACACATGTGATCACTGAGCGCTCTTGTTTGATATATATATTTCTTTTTAATCATAACTGACTTAATCTTGTTTCATTAATTACAGAATGGTGTGACAATCTAGATTTTCCAGTGTACAACGATTTTGTCATAGCAACAGAAATATGTGGCGATTTGATTCTATTGTTTGTGTTTGGAACAATTATTCGTAGCAAATGTCGGAAAAAATCATTCCATCTAGAGATGGTGGGGGCGGAGGCTGGTCTTGGAGGTATGTGACAATGTTGTCCAACTGTTTCTAGAAAAACTTTATATACTATGATAGTGTGATGACAGTTTAACTTATTTTTAATTTATAACCCTCAACCTGTTAATGGACTTGTCTGGCTTTCAATTCTGGACATGTCCATTATCAATATTGGGGATATCAAGATGAAAATTCAAAGTTATTCAGCTGACAGTAATGATGAGCCTGGCCAGACTGCAGGGTTGTACAGACTGGCCCAAGTCTCTATACTATTGAAAAAGGCCAATAATTTTCTGTTCTGAGCACGTTAAGGATTAATATTAGACAGGTCATGACAAATTTCACAGTGACAAGGTCAAGTGACACAGGATCATAACTGAGGTCCCTGGATCTACTTTGGTTGTTTTTGTACCTATTTCACACCAGTGATTATTACGTATGCAGAAATATCATACCACTTTTTCTGATATTTGTCACAATTTAGAATGGATCACTATTTAGTGGAGATCATGTGCACTTAAGCTGCCAGTAAGCTCAGTTGGTAGAGTCGTGTTATGGTATTTCGAGGGTCCCAGGTTCAAGTCCTTGTCAGGCTGCACATTTTTTTCACCCTGTGACATTTGGCGCCAAACGGAGGTGAAAAATGTAACCCCCATTGCTAGTCAAATAGTGTCATATGAGACAGTTTGTTATGAGCTCAATTTAGCTTAAATCTACAAGATTTTAGTTGAGAATTTACCATTATTTATCTTTATATGGTTTTGCTTCAACTATAAATAGAATAAAATATACTTTATTGATGATGCAGGACATATAAATTACATGTCCAACTGTATTCTCACACTATACTTTTATACATTTATACAGTATACTTTTATACACATGTGCCATTTTCATATAAACCACAATTTTATTTTCATGTATTGACAGGTCTGTTAATGATGGTTGGTGTTCTAGTGTACGCAGCAGCCGACAGTGAGATAGGTTACCAGGCAACAGACCTCCATATTGGTTGGGCATTATGTTTATCAGCAGGGGGCATAGCATTCTTATTGTGTATATTCTGTATATGTAGGCACGTTAAATCAATACCCACAATGCCTGAAGGTTATTTTCCTATAGACGATGAAGATGACGAAGATGAATTAATGTTAATGGATGTGTGACAGACAAAAATGTGACATTATGTCACAGTAAATATGTAACAGACAACCATGTGACATTATGCCACAGTTAATATTTAACAGACAACCATGTGACATAATGTCACAGAAAATATGTAACAGACAACCATGTGACATAATGTCACATAAAATATGTAACAGACAACCATGTGACATAATGTCACATAAAATATGTAACAGACAACCATGTGACATTATATCACAGTAAATATGTGAAAGACAAAAATGTGACATAATGTCACAGAAAATATGTAACAGACAACCATATGACATTATGTCACAGTAAATATGTGAAAGACAAAAATGTGACATAATGTCACAGTAAATATGTAACAGACAACCATGTGACATAATGTCACAGTAAATATTTAACAGACAACCATATGACATTATGTCACAGTAAATATGTAACAGACAACCATGTGACATAATGTCACAGTAAATATGTAACAGACAACCATGTGACATTATGTCACAGTAAATATGTAACAGACAACCATGTGACATTATGTCACAGTAAATATGTAACAGACAACCATGTGACATAATGTCACAGAAAATATGTAACAGACAACCATGTGACATTATGTCACAGTAAATATGTAACAGACAACCATGTGACATTATGCCACAGTTAATATTTAACAGACAACCATGTGACATAATGTCACAGAAAATATGTAACAGACAACCATGTGACATTATGTCACATAAAATATGTAACAGACAACCATGTGACATATTGTTAGGGTAAATATGTAACAGACAAAAATTTGACACATTGTTACAGCTAATGATGTGACATATTGTCACAGTAAAAGTGTTACAGACAAAAATGTTAGTGTTACCTCAAGTATGATTATCTGTCACAGCAAATGTACAACAAATAACAATGTGACATAACATCACATATGTAACAAACAAAATAATTTACATGTATGTAAGTGTTTAAGTAAGTGTTAAGCAGAGAAATGTGTAACGTAAAAAAACATGTTTATAGCATCACATCAATATCATGTAAATAGAGAATAACAGGTTACTGTCTTTTGAGAAAGGGTTTCTCAGACGAGGTTAGATATGGTCCTGGAAGGGGCGAGGCTTGCCGAGCCCCTTCCGGACCATATCTAGCCGAGTCTGAGAAATCCCTTTCTCAAAAGACAGTAACCTGTTATTCTTTTTATCATGCCTCTATTATGATTTTGCATCTTATTTTTTTAAACGCCCCTGAAAGTTTAGCATTAAACTCAAGGTGTTTCATGATCTTGAAGTTGATTCAAGCTAAATCTTTTTGAGTTTAACAATAACCTTTAACATTGTCCCACAATTTTGATATTGACTTCTAAGTTTTCTCTTACCTAAGAATGTGAATTTTACATTGACCTTTTCATCTATATAAAGATAATTTTGATCTTTACCTAATAAAAAACCTATACTAGGGAGGTGCACCATCATGTATTTCAAGGCCTATGCGTAACATTGGCCCTATTTATCACCTGAAGAAAGAAAACACTTGCTCCAGCTAGAGAATTATAAAGTCTACCAAGCAGAAATGCCTACATTTACTTACAATCTTGAACCTGCTTTAACTTCAAAATAACGGGAAAGGTATCTGCATAGTTGAGCTCTAAATACTTACCATTATAAGCCAAAATAAAAAGGCTTTATGAGTGGAAATGGAAATATGAAAATCTATTTTTTAGAAAAGAAGACCTTGACTATAATGAATGATAGAATTTCAAGCAAGGTGTGTTAATTAATAAATATATGCTTTGTAATGAAAAGTTTATAATCTGTTTCACTGCTAATAAGTGTAGTGTCCCAAGGGAGCGTGTTTTGAATACCCACTTGGTAAAAGTCTACTAAACCATGTTACACTACAAAATTGTTAAACATCCTAATACTGAGTCTTGAGGTTTCTAGCAAGAAGAGTTTAAAGTTCTGTATTAAAAGAGTAATGGCCAATTTCAAAGTTGGCAGAGGTATGTTAAATAGTGCAACACCTTAAGGATCTAAAACTCAAAACCGTTCAGATGAAATATCAATTATACTGACAAACAGTTGTGGATGTCAGACAGTCTTCTATCCGGAAAGTTCCACTTGGTTTCAAACAGACATCTGCATACATTCAGAGAACTTCTACAAAACTTCTAACAAAATTTTAGTAACAGTTATGCCCCTTGAATTGCATCATTCTATAAACTAACTTTTAACAAACTACTGTCACAGAGACAAATGTTTCAAATACTTACATGTCCTACAAAGATATTAGCTGCAGCACACAGGGATTCTGGGGCAGTTGTTCCTAGGACCATCTTTAGCAACCACCCTATCTTACTAATGATCATCTGCATGGCTCCAAGGTAATATAACACATTTATAACGCAGCTAAAGAAGATAACCACCGGTAAAACCTGAAATATAGTGAAAATATAACACGTTAAACCCTATGCATTATTTGTATCATATGCAATTTTAATGTCAGCTTAAACTTGCAGGGCATCTTTTCACTGAATTGTGAAGGGGTATTATTCAAATCCTGAAGGGGCCTTTTAAGGCTGCTGTGATATAATGAAAAGAATCCCTGACTTGGTATATCTAACACCCCAGTTACACAGAGCCATTGGAGATTGATCAGTAGTTTTTTTAGCCAAATTATGGAGTGAACCGATGACAAAGTATTTAACACCGATATCACCTATTGGTCACCTGTTTTCCACCTATCAACTGCTATTAGGGAAAGATAAGTTTCATTGGTGAAAAATTACCGATTGGGATTTTTAAACACGTTTAAAATTCTCCATCGGTGAAAATATTTTAAAAATAACCGACGGCTACATATATAACTAGTTATGCAAGCTCTTAATCACCGATATCGCCGATCGGACAAAGATAACCAAATATGAATCACCGGCCATATCTGACGGAAAGTGTTTAACCACTGATGACTAGCTATCAAACACCAATTAATCAGCGTTACGCCCAATTTAGCTCCGATTTACAAACGATAAAAACCAAAAGTATTTCAGCATTTATTCATCAACCCATTCCCGTTTGAGTTTGCTTTCTGTCACTGATGGCCGTTTACACAGAAAACCAGAAATAAAATCACGCATGACAACCGATCAATTAACAGCTAGTAAATTTAAAAATAAATGACCGATTGGGGACCGACCGTCTGTGTAACTGGGCCTTAACTTGATAGTATAAACTTAATACATTTTCTTAACGCATTCAACTTCATTTTAAACTTGAAATATTTAACTGACAGAACTTTACTTAAAACTGAAAGCCTCGAGATGAGCCAAAATATTTTTCAAGAAAATCAAACTTTGTACAGACATTTTAATAAAAGTAAAAAGATAAAAAATTCAATTAATAATTTATATGTAATGTGCAATTTATTACTGTTTTTGCAATAGTTCTCATCACAATTCTACTGTGTGACTGACACAGTAATTAAGGGCTACTTTTGCATATTTGACCTCTTATCAGTAACTTAGTCTAACAAGATTGTTAGTGCCATTTGCAATGTGTAAATCAAGGTTAAATTGTTCATTTAACAAAGTTTTACATTTAAATACAATTCAGAAATTAGCATACATCTGGGTGAATGCTGTTTTTATTGCTTTAGCACATTTAACTTGAGAGCTTAAATGTTGACTCATTAACTCAACATAATAAGACAAGATAACAAGAGCTGTCGGTAGGACAGCACGCTTGACTATTCTAAGTGCTTGATAGTAAAAGAGCCTTGATAATGTTAAATTTTTTAAGTTCACAAAAGGGCTAATTTTTTTTTTTATAAATTCATGTTATAGGCCTTAGAGAGAGTCTAATTATACAGTATTGGCTTGACTCATAATTCGGAAGGTAATGTCACAAGGGTGTTTTATTGAGTATAATAATACTAATTACCTATGAATACATAAATTTGACAGAAAAGGTACAAAGGCTTGTTATTAAGATGTTTTATCAAGTAAATCACTGCTTTATTACGTATTATGAATGCATAAAATTGTCCCAAAAAAGGCACAAACCCTTCAGTAGTTATTGAGATAACAGCTTACAAGCAAAACTTTACCATGAATTTCTTAGTTGAAAAAGGGGAGAAAAATCAGCCTAAATGCAAGATAGAATTATGGATCTTTGTCAGTGACCTACAAGTATGACCCTAAATGCATATGTGAAGTTTTAAATAAATATCTTTAATAGTTATTGAGATATGTAAAACTTGTATGTAAACATTTACCAAGAGAATAAGTAGAAAAGGGAATATGAATCAGCCTTAATGCAAGATAGAGTTATGGAACTTGGTCAGTGACATACAATTATGACCCTCCAATTATGACCCTAAGTGCATGTGTAAAGTTTCAAGTAAATATCTTTGAAGACCTTTAACCTTTAACCAAAAAGTTTCAAAGGGGCAAATAATTCTGCAAATATTGCAGGTAGAGTTATGCAATTTTGAAAACTGATGTATATTGTTACTATAAAAAAGTATTTTAAATTTCAATTGAATATCTCAAGCAATAATTGAGATATTTGACTTTACAAAAAAACTTTAACCAAAATTCCAAGTTCCAAAGGGGCATTATTCTGTCAATATTGTAGGCAGAGTTATCCAACTTGTCAATCTGATGTACCTTGTAACTATAATTGAGTATTGTAAGTTTCAATTGAATATCTCAAGCAATAATTGAGATATTTGACTTTAACCAAAATAACTAAGTTAAAAAGGGGCATAATTCTGTCAATATTGTAGGCAGAGTTATCCAACTTGTCAATCTGATGTACCTTGTTACTATAAATAAGTATTGTAAGTTTCAATTGAATATCTCAAGTAATAATTGAGGTATTTGACTTTACAAAAAACTTTAACCAACGCAGATGCCGACGCGGACGCCGGGGTGACTACAATAGCTCTCATATTCTTCGAATAGTCGAGCTAAAAATGTATTTAACTTGACTGCATTGATTTTATAAAAAACATCATTAACTTGTTATATTGAAATTCACAGGATAAAAGAAAGCTTGCACTTGAGACAATTAATTGCCTGAGCATAAATTTGATACATTTAAAATTTAACTTGACAGCATATATGACCATATATTTAATTAGATACATTTAACTGGTCAGCAGTGAATATTTTACAGTAAACATACAGTCGAACCTGTCTTAGCAGACATATAAGGGATGCAGTCATTTTAGTTGCTTAAGACAGGTGACTGCTGAATGGAGGTTCAAGTTATTATTCAAATTTCTATTTTTTTATGTTAAGCTATACCAAGATGTGCTTATGTGTATTATAACCAAATCTATTTCAAATATGATTCATCATTATCATCATCAGTTTTTAACCATTTACAAATGTATGTGCTCAATGGTTTAACACATGTACACCCCTTCCAACATAAACCCTTTCCAACATTATGTAATATAAAGCTTTAATAAATAGAAAAAGAGAAAAAAAATGCACTCACAATTGGTAGTATATCAATGATCGACAGTAATTAAGTTTATTAATCTTCTTGAGCAATTATTAAACATGCTGTATTCAATGAATATTTAGTAGCGTTACACCTTAGTAATGACAACCATATAGTATTATTCTGGTATTAATTAAAATATTCGGAACTGTCTGATTATGTAGGTAGTCAGTGTTTTAGAAAAGCATGCTAACAGGAATAAAGTTGTTTTCGAAAATGTGTGCTTAAACAGGAATATTAAGTCAATTCATCTGAATTTCTCTACTTATTTTATACCCCTGAAGCTTAAATTAAAAACAGTGAAATTATCAAAGTGGTAATTTCACTGTTTCAAACAGTGAAATTACCAGTTTTATATCACTGATATATTTCTATAAACCACCGAAAAGCATGTAATAAAAAAAATTAATGGCCCAAATGACAGGTAGCTTTTGATAATCTATGACGCATATTATCTTTGAACATTAGCAGCAGCTCGGACTTAAATAACTTTTCACTCCCAGGCAGCAGGTAGTCTGGCTGTTTCACCTCACTATCTGCATGCTGATGGATCAACATGGCATAGCTTACAACATAGCTTACGATTTGAGAAGCATTTTAGGTGACCACTGACCGGGACCAGCAGGTGCCTTCTGAACAGATGTACAAAATAGAGTGATTTTTCAACGGCCGTAACAAAATGGCCGTTCTAGCCAGGTAACAGCTGAAAAAGGGTGACCTATAATACAGATTCCTCTGTATTTAAATTTATATAAAAGTTGGCTTTTGTACGTAATGAACCATTGAACTGTAATCCTGAACCACCTTCCCACATAAAGAATAGCAAAGACCTAAAAAAAAACTTTTGGATTATCATACTTTAATTTTTGGTAATATTTTTTAAATCAATTTCCTAGCAAATTCATAAAGTATCCTAAATCACTATGCATGTACGTTTGGCAGATATATTTCTGTTGTACATTATCTAATAACTTGCTTATGTCATGTAGTAAATTATTACCACATAATTATTAGCTATATCATGTAATTATAAATGTATATGAAATCTTTTTGTTTATGATTGTTATCACAATTTGTAATTGTTCTTCTTTTTTTCTTATTTTTTATAAGTATTTCTAGTTAATACAAATAGAAGTAAATAGTATTGATAATTTAAACAAATTCAATCCCTGTCCATCATGTCTCCAATATCTTTGACATACAGTCAATTATCGTTATCTCGACATTGCTTTTCTCGATATTTCGTTATCTCGATGAAATTTTGAAAGTCCCGATTTTCTTCCTTCTTTATCTATATTGGATATATTTGTTTATCTCGATATTTTTATTTCAATATTTTCAGACTATCTCAATGTAAAACTTCAGCCCCAACAGTTATTTTCACACAATTATCCTTTGTTTATTTCGACTAATAGTTTTCTTTCGTCTGTTCCCTTCAGACGTGTAAAAAACAAACCAGACGATAATTGCTCAATAGCCCATGTCATAATAATGTTTATGTTTGTAACAAGTTGGGCTGTTATTATAAAAGTTAATCTAATTAGCGTGTAGATTGACAAAATGAGTGAATCTTACGTTCTATTTAATATTCGAACACTGTATAAATTCATTATGACTTTAAATGTAAATGAAATAGTGAAAGTATAAAAACGTTATCGTTACAATATTGTTTCACAACATCAACAAATCAATCAGCGGTAGAACAATCCCAAGAAAGACCCGATAACTAACCCAGGAGGATATCCGGATCAACCACCCTGAAAACAATGTTTTCACTATATTGGTGTATCACTGAGTAAACCTCACTATATGTTTTTTATCACAGACACCCGTATTTCCGCTGGTAAACATCCTCTTATGTTACTTTGTTAAATATTGACTAGGCTTATGAAAACAAGACATGCGGATATCATAGTTTAATTGACATAAGGTATGCACATGTCTTTTGTAAAAATCAGTTTCTGCCTTGTTCAAACCCTAATACAGTCCGACCCCGGTTATTCCACAACCCTTTATTCGAATACCCGGCATTAACTGAAGTAGATCGGCGGTCCCGTTTTTATTTCTATATAAAACAATATAAATACGAGCGTATTATTCGAAATGTATTATCCTAATACCTCCTGTTTTTCGAAGTAAAATTTCGGACCCGATTATACAATTATGAAAGAATTTCACACCTATTATTCGAAGCCAGCCTAATTATTATTCAAAGCCAGACTAATTGACACAGATCCACTCGCTGACCGGTCGTCTTGTGAAAAATATCAACAGACATGCGTGTATTTAGACAATCATGATAATAACTCTTTGTGTGTTCTTTAATCAACTTTAATTATCGAAAATGAAAAGCTATGCACCGTGTCCGATTTTTATACATACCGTATATAAGAATTTGTCAAAATATCCAAAACATTTTTTTCATTAATTGTAATTTACATTCCTAATGGAAAATACCAGAGTTTAGCTGTAAATACCGTAGTGACAACACGGCCATTATCTAATATCAAGGCTTTGTGCGAAACGAAACGATACATAATGTAGAATAAAATGCAAGTATTTATGTCTTCAGTGTCAATACAAATAATTTTTACTCATCTTTTCTTTAATATTTATTTTTCTCAATTGATTACAGGAAGTAAGTGTATTGTAAATGGTAGTTTTGCTACATTTGGTCAAAGTGGAGGAGTTTTCGTCTATCACATTATTCCGATTTCGATTATTCGAACCCATCGATTATTCGAAGTAAATTTTCAGTCCCAGACACTTCGAATAAACGGGGTTGGACTGTATGTTTATCTCAACATTTTGTTATCTCGATATTTTTTGGACAGTCCCGATGATTTCGAGATAACAAGAGTCGACTGTATGTTACAAATTTACAATGATGTAATTCATAAATCTGTATCAATATACAAACATGCCAAACAACTTCTACCATTCATGCACAGCTATACCAACCTTGTTCTAACTGAAATCTAATATAACAGTAAATAAGTAATTATTTGAAAATACTCTTTTAGCTGAACAAAAAATAATGAAACAATTCTATACATTTTTTACAATTTGTATTAATTTGAAATATCTTTTAGGTAGATTTTCAATTATTTGCGATATCACAATCATATGAAGGAAAAACGTTTCAGCAGCAGTCATAAAAGCAAAAGACATACAAAGTACAATCAGTGTTCAAAAAGGTGAACTCCCATGGGACTAATGGCTAGTATGTCAAACAAATCTTAGATTTGGTTTATCAATGGAAGGTTTTGTTAAAGTGACATTCACCCTAAACTTGTAAAATTCACGCAAAAATGAGACCCATGACCCCCTCTGGAAAACTAGTTGAATAGCAGCCAAATTCACCCTGGAATATTTATTGCTAAAAAATCGAAATTCTGCTTTACCCTAGAAAAAAACCACGATCCATGCTTATAAATCAATCAATTCATAGGCCATAAATATTTACTACTTTTTGTCATAGAAGGTAAAAAGGTAAACAAGATTTGCTCTAAAGACTTCCATACTATTCAGTATTGTAAAATAATTCAATAACGAAAATAATGAACTTACTTTCATGGCAAATATATGATCAGTGTATTTAGATCCAAACACAAATTCCGCACCATAATTGGTAAAGTTTAGAAATTCTTGGACCCTTTGACCCAGCCAAGACAAAAGATCAAACCCAGCCTGCCATCGAAGTATGATCACAGCAAAGTAAAACTGCAAACAAAATCCTCCAATCACAGGCCGCCACTTTACCTGGGGTAAAAAAAACAAATCCATTAGATTATTTCATTATTACTTCATAAAAATTCACAGTAAGATGTTTCAAGACCAAATTCAAACATATATTTATATTGCTTATCTTTAACATATGGTTGCTAGTATATATTTTTGTTTTTAAATTTGTCAAAAGTTATACTAATATGTACTATGTTATTCAATTTCTTAAACTGACATAAAAGTAATTACAAGAGCAGTTTGATGACAGTGTGTGTGACTTTTATAAGTACTTGCCTTGAGGCGGTGATGACAGAAACTAACAGGTATTTGAAGTTTCAAAGCAATGTCTCAAAAGGTATACTCTGGGTAGTACAAAAAAAGTGTGATGCAGACGCTTGTGTGAGTAGGATAGCTCTCCTTATTATATAAATATAATAACAAGTAAATCAAGAGAAGGAGAGAACACACATCAAACATCAGGATGGTTTGTAAACTGGTTTATTTAAGGATCTACCGGTTTCGGTCTTTCAAGACCTTCATCCAAATATAATAGACTATTAGTCAAGCTAAAATTGGGAAAATAAAAAGTATAATCTTAACACAATGAACCAAGTAGGAATTTTTTACCTGTCCTGGATGAGCCGAGAAAATCCAAAGGAATATAACAAAAACGAGGAAACCAACAATAGATATAAGATTTGCAGGTCGACGATATCCTATGAGTAATATCACAACTGTGATTCCAGCCAATAACAGCAGACATGTTGCTCTGAAAGTAAACAGCTTTCATATTATCAAAGAGATATATTATTTGGTCTCCGGACAAGTAGCGAAGAATGACGAGTCAAACAGAAGCTCTGTCCTACGGAAAGTTATATGAATTAAGAATCTACTATTATTCAAATATTAAAAGAAACTGCTTCTATTCAAACATTTAAAAAGGAGGTAAATATAATCAATTTCTAACCTTCTACAGGATTAAGCTCCTTGTTAGTAAAAAGTATGAAAAACAAGATCAACAAGGAAGGATGGCATTCACCGAATGCTTCCACCAACACAGGACCAAGGGAAATTTAATTACATTTTGATTATTCTTCTTTTTTTTCCATTAATAGCTTCTCCAACAGCTTGTGAGCATTTTTCTAGTTGTGAACTAAAGCATATTTTGCAACGCCAAATGGCCACACATGTAACAATGGCAACAAATAGAGTAATCAGTGGACGAATATCCTGGCAGTCATATTTGATAGAAATAACCAGTGCCCATATAAAATATCCCAGGGCAGAAGTGCACAGTAGTCCAATAAATACCTGAAAGAAGAAAATAATTGTAACATGTTTAAAGCGACTCCACTGAGGTTTAAAAGTCTAAGAACATAAAATTTGAATTTTCATACATAAATGAGCTGGGGCACTTTAAACTGAAATATACGCAAAGATAGTCAAGAAATATACTTCGAAATAAATTGAAAATGATATTTTTATGCTTTGATTAGCTTGATTTGTGTGAAAAGCGTTTAAATGCTTTTCATTTTTGGTCATGATATTTTTACAATTTGAAGAATTATTCTGGAAAAACGAAGTGCGCGAATGACCTGAAATTTTGCACAAAGATTAGTGGTCTAAACCTACATCAAATGGTACATTTTTCTGGAAAAGTATTTTCAGTTCCAAAATTTCAAAAAACCTCAGTGGAGTCCCTTTAACACCAGTAAAAACTACATAAGCAATGACCCAGCTGCTGTAGTTAATATGTCTGCCAGAAAGCCAACTAAAGTGTGGAAAGATGTCTGTGATAAACATGCTCGTATAAATAGTTTATATTTCGTCACAATGTATAACACACATTGATTATGTGAAACACACAATAATTACTTGATCTGTTGTGCAACTCTTGAATTACTAAAATTCTAACACACAATAATTACTTTATCTCCTTTACACACATTAATCATATAACTTCTGGTGTATAAAATATATGACCTATTGGTCTGATATAAGAATAGCCCATTATAGTATTAGGAACTTCAATTTATCAACAACAGCGATCTGTGATTACATGTGTTGCCTGATAATAGCATGTAGCAGGAGAGACAAAAATCATTAACAGGCCAAAACGCGGTTTTTATTTCAGGGCCATAACTCAGCCAAAATCATTCAACTGGAAAACTCTGTAATATATGTGCAAGTTCTTCAGCTACCGATCAATCCTGTAATGTTTCAGTGACATTGATCACTCGGGTATAAGAGGAGTAGTCCAGACTATTTTATTAAAAATAAATATCAAAAAAGGGTCATAACTCTGACAAAAATCATTGAACTGGATAATGCCGATGGTATGCACAAATAGACTTGGTAATTCATTGGTGATCATTTGTGTAAAGTTTGGATGAAATTGGCTTTATTGCACCAGTTATTTCTGAGGAGTAGTTCTGACAAGTTTTGAGGCAGATGGTCAAACGGACAGACAGGCAGACTACTGAGAAGTGATCCCTATTATATATCGCGGCTACTCAGTGGCAGGCGACACGAAAAGAACAGATCATTATTCCGCATAGAATACAAAATTAGTTTTTACTTTTCTACTCTGTCAGGATATACCCCTCAAATATGTAATACCTACCAGGTAATATTAACTTACACCTCTAAGAATGACTTTATTGGTATCAATAAATGAGCCGATATCTTGATGAATCTGTTGAACATTGTCAAATGCATTGCAGATAGAACTGCTACTACTGCTGGGCGATACATTAGAACTACTATCAGTTGATTCTATATCTGAAAATATCCATTAATTTAAATCATTATTGCATAACGTATCTACAACATAAATATACATATAAATATACATGTCTAATATTGACATATGGTTTAATTATCCATTCGAATAAATTCTTTGAATGAAATATTGAATTAGCACTATGTTTCACTTCAAGGAGACTTACTGACTCTTACAGTAACATTGACATTTGACCAAGTTACCTCAGAAAGGGTCTTGCTGTAAAGACTAAAGCTGATCAAAGGGGCATGAAATTGGTAAGTTTGGAAGCTGTAGGTGGAAGCTTTAGATCTTAAATATTTATATAATGATCAAGGTGGTTAAAGTTTTGTGGTAAAAAATAACAGACTGACAGACCAGAAAACAATATGCCCACCTGATTTATTGATCTGCGAGCATAAAGAATTCATTGCTTCAATTACTATGTATGTATCTATTATAATATATAATAGTATCATTTACTTTACAATATGTTACAGCGTTCAACTGCTGTTTGTCAGGTTTTAATTGACTTGAATTTCAAACAGATTTTGATCAAATTAAGGTGTTTGGTCCACCTTAATGATTTACCTGCATATTTATTGCCAGTAATTACCAATTTTTCACCAGCAACTAATATCACATAATTTGATTACTAAGTACTGAATCATTGCTTTGTTGAGAGACAACTGACCATCTCACTTGAAGACAGTTGTTTCTTTTGTCAGTTAATTAATATATAATTAATGAAGGCCAGACATAATGTTATAATGAATTTTTTGCCATCTGAATTCTTAGGCTGCACATCTCTGCAGTCTGACATTTAAGACAGTAATATATAAATGTTGGTGGACAAACTTTTATTCTTATTTTGATTTGCACATACCCGTTAATAATTAATGACAGTGCCAGAATGCGTTACCTGGGCAGATTCATTTCAGACTTTGAACATTTAATACAGAATAACGATAAAAATATAAATAACCTTTAACTTCCACACTAAAATCTTCATTCTCTAACATAGGATCATGTGCCTGACTTGAAGCTGATTTCTCATCTAAACCACGTTCTTCAACACAAATATCTGTATAGGCTGGTGGACTAAATAACTGTTGATCATTAACCAGACTTGGTGCTGTCGACTTCTCACCTAAACCGCTCTCATCAACACAAGTATCTGCGTAGGCTGGCATAGTTAACTGTAAACAGTTCACAATCATAATGTTTTATACCATTACAACTAATTTATACTAAATTTGATTGTGTTGGAAGTTATAATGTCCAAGTCCCTGCGAGGGGTTTGACATAGATAGATAGATAGATAGATAGATAGATAGAATAAGACAGGACAGGACAGGACAGGACAGGACAGGACAGGACAGGACAGGACAGGACAGGACAGGACAGGACAGGACAGGACAGGACAGGACAGGACAGGACAGGACAGGACAGGACAGGACAGGACAGGACAGGACAGGACAGGACAGGACAGGACAGGACAGGACAGGACAGGACAGGACAGGACAGGACAGGACAGGACAGGACAGGACAGGACAGGACAGGACAGGACAGGACAGGACAGGACAGGACAGGACAGGACAGGACAGGACAGGACAGGACAGGACAGGACAGGACAGGACAGGACAGGACAGGACAGGACAGGACAGGACAGGACAGGACAGGACAGGACAGGACAGGACAGGACAGGACAGGACAGGACAGGACAGGACAGGACAGGACAGGACAGGACAGGACAGGACAGGACAGGACAGGACAGGACAGGACAGGACAGGACAGGACAGGACAGGACAGGACAGGACAGGACAGGACAGGACAGGACAGGACAGGACAGGACAGGACAGGACAGGACAGGACAGGACAGGACAGGACAGGACAGGACAGGACAGGACAGGACAGGACAGGACAGGACAGGACAGGACAGGACAGGACAGGACAGGACAGGACAGGACAGGACAGGACAGGACAGGACAGGACAGGACAGGACAGGACAGGACAGGACAGGACAGGACAGGACAGGACAGGACAGGACAGGACAGGACAGGACAGGACAGGACAGGACAGGACAGGACAGGACAGGACAGGACAGGACAGGACAGGACAGGACAGGACAGGACAGGACAGGACAGGACAGGACAGGACAGGACAGGACAGGACAGGACAGGACAGGACAGGACAGGACAGGACAGGACAGGACAGGACAGGACAGGACAGGACAGGACAGGACAGGACAGGACAGGACAGGACAGGACAGGACAGGACAGGACAGGACAGGACAGGACAGGACAGGACAGGACAGGACAGGACAGGACAGGACAGGACAGGACAGGACAGGACAGGACAGGACAGGACAGGACAGGACAGGACAAGACAAGACAAGACAGACAGATAGATAGATAGATAGATAATAAAAAGCTTATTGAAACACTCTCAAATACTTTCCTGGGACCAACAAGTACTAAGCAATGAGTGTAGTTTCTTGCTCACAGAAACAACAGCTTGCCACTGACTATGTATTACATTTACATCAAATGGGTATGTTAAATAATTTAAAAATAATGAGAAAAATTCAGCACAGACAAGAGACATAGGTAATCTACAGTTAGTTATCTACATCTCTGCACAGACCTACTTTCCTATTTCTAAAGCTGCTCCACAGACTATTACATAATACATTTATAAGTATGTGGTTGATCTAATGACATTTAAGGATACAAACACAGAAATCCTTATAATGATATGATAAATATATGACAAGGAAATAATCATTATAGACATACGATATTATAAAAAAAAGTTTGACCCTCTAACAAGGACACTTACATGTAAGTTATGTAGATCTCAATTTTATGTTCCTGGTTATAAATAAATCCTGGTACGAACTATAAATTGAAACTTCAAACATTATAAGGAAAAAAGAAAGGTACACATGGTCTATATTTTATAAGAACTATCTCAATACATGTATCTAAGTAAATACAGGTAAATATACCGGCATTAATACGGTACACGTGGTACCCACGTGGAGAATTGGCATGCTTCCAATAGATATATTTATATATATGTATTAATAATTATTTTAAGTAAACTAGATCTATAACAATTATGCCGATAGTTCACAAAACTAGATGATTATTTTAGAGAAATTTAGAAGGTTAAACATTACCTGTGTTTAAATCCGCACATCCACATGCGCCAATATTAATTGTTGCTAACTTGCTACTAGGAGCGGTTTCTTCACTCGTGTACCCTTTACCCGCGCACTCGACAATGGATAATGAATAACAAGCGTATGATGCAATATTGCGCAAAGTAGAGGCATTGTGGTTCAATTATCGATCTTCTACTGGTGTTTGTTTAAGATATTAGAATTACCACTTAGCAGGATGGCTTCGATTTGATCTTGTCAAACCCGGAAGTTAATATAATGTAGATCTAATTAATATAAAATATGTTTAAACCCGCTGTGAAGAATAAAATATTTTATCTTATATTTTGGGTTCAATCTTCTTTGTGAAATGGATCCGTGACGTTATTGTAAAAAAATTATGAATGATCAGATCGTGATTTCCATCCATATGCACACGGATTTATATTACAATATATTAATTGTAAATTCCGTGATATGCATTTGTATAAATATGCACGCGCCTTTTTCGTGATTGAACAATATTTTATGAAGGAAAAAAGGTGGAAGAATAAAAAAGACATACTCGCGATGAAGAAGAAAAATATAAAGCGTCAGTAGGATCTTGGGACATTTAAAAACTATTTTTCAATGAATTAAAATAGAAAACAATTGTATAAGAAACTTTTTTAATCATCAAAGTTAAATTATTTGTCACCGTTCAACATTCTGAATTTTATTTGATTTAATATTCGATCTAGAAATTTAAAAGCTTGAATCCGAGGCACAACCCTTATTTATATACGTTAAATACAATACTTTGTCCCTCATATAACTTTATTAAAAATCTGTATCCCATTATCATCATTATTATTATTTTTTTTATTTAACATCTGTAAGATCTACTGCGAATACCTATTTTTCGGTTATGTCAACTGCAAACATCTTTACAACAATTAAAATCGTGCAGCAATTACATGACCATGAGTCTGTTGCACAGCAATGACTGAGCAAAACGTATAATACAAACAAATTAATCATCTTATCAGCAGATTTTTTTACCAGGCCAAGTCTATTCAATATTTAGTCTAGAAAATCATTATCATACGCGGGAACTGTACGGGTAGTCATACTTTAACACACAGCCAATAAGCAATAACCACGTGATTGGCCATGGAAATATCATGACGTGTACTCACACAGCATGTGATATCCCCTTCGTTCTAAGCCACAGGCAGATCTTATTAGTGACGGAGATGTCGGAATTCTGAAAGTTTTTTTTGGCTCAGTAACGTTCGGTTGTAAGTCTGCTCGGCGAGCGTTATGTATGGCAAACAACCTTTTACACATCTTTACAACGAATTTTTATTACACTATAATAACTATTTATATTATCGCCTAGATAATGATTTGAGCGGGAAAAAAACGAGTGTTCATGATAACATAATGATATAGCATACTATAATATTTAGCTGAATGAATGATGGTCCATCCGCTTCCGCACCTGAGACATATAATATATAGTACATACATGTAGTATATCGCATATAGTAGCTAACATATATGGCACAAAATTAATCTAAGCCGGATCCCAGCAAACACACGACGTTGACCCAACGTTGGATCAACGTTGAATTTTGGTCGCGACGTCGGTGACCTTCATACAACGTCAAATCGACGTGGAATCCCCGACGTCTAACAGACGTTGCATTTTGACGTCGACTCGACGTCGGGTTTTGGTCGGTTATCTGACAATAGGTAAATTTAATTTATGAAACCAATATATATATAAATGAAAGCATAAACAGCGAGAATTTTAAGTTTAAGTTTAGAAAGGGAGCATTATATATTTATTTTCTCCATCAAAACAACAGTATCACGTGGGTGGCTAACGTACGATATTCGATAAGTGGCGCTCTGTAAACGGATAGTCGCAGATCAGTATGAAATATATTTGCTCTATTTTCGTTTAAATAATATCGAAATTAGTCTAAGAAGTGTTTATATAATTTACAATGAAGTTGTTATCATTTTTGAAGGCTTCATTTTATAGTGGTAAATTATTTAGTAAATTCGAATTTGCGACTCATCGGATTTGAAATTCAATTGTATTGGCGGACAAAAAACGACAGGTTGACAGACAAAGTTGTGTATTCCAAACAAAAGAAAAAGGTAGGCAACCATTATATATTGTTTTTCAATGCTAATTTACCACATGTTTGTATGGATTTGATGGTTATTTGATCAATGAAATGTTTGACTGGTAAAACTTAATGTCACGTGATTTCGCGAGATAATTTTTTTTTGTTTCCACGTAAGAACACTTTATCATTTGCTATAGAACAGTCTGTATAATCGGATCATTTTCCCCACACTATATCGCCATGCCAAATAAATGCACAATCAATGATAGGAAATATCCTAGCAATTGAAATCAATAAAAAGTTAAATGCAGTACGTAAGACTCATATTATTCAAATGCTGGTAAATAAAATTTCCTCTTATTTCTTATCAACATGAATTTCACTTATATGAGGGGCCAGTCATTTACACATGTATCAGATGCAGTTTGATTTTGATATCTGTGTAGTTGTTAAACTACTCGTTGTTAATTGTAGTACTTTACCCATACTGTAAGCATACCATGTGTTTCTTATATTATGATAATGATTCATGGCATTTGATACATGTAAATGATACGACTTTTGTAAGATATATCTGAAAGCACATTGTATTTGACTAGTTATCTTTTTATTAATGTAATCAAACAACATATTATCAATCAGAAAACACATTATCATAGTTATAAATCAATAAAAGTAATAGTTTGTAAATTAGCCTGCTTATCAACAAGTTGTTTGCTCGTATCATAAAACGTTTTTACACTAAGCCAGTCTGTCCTATATACACTTAGCAGACCAGATCATGCTGGGCAGAGATGATATCTATAAAAATGACAGTAACATGTGAATTTCTTTGATGTTGTATGAGCATTTGTACAAAGTACTTTGAATATAAAAAATAACAATATCAATTTTTGCGGGAGTAGAATTAATTTGGTATTTGTTATATCTGTTTTTCATGCGCTTATGAGTTAACTAAGATTAATAGTAATTTGATTTTGCCTAATGTATTAGACAAACATCCTTTCACCACATGGTTATTAAATTCTAAAATGATTATATTTCGTCTTTCAGATTGTGAAAAGTATGATAATTCAACATGTGTCAAAAGTTCATGAGGAAGACGAAATATTTAGAGGAAAAGAAAAATGAAAACCTACCAAGATTTTGTGACAGGTATATTTCAAAATATTATAGAAAATACAGTGATCTTATTACCCTTGATTTTATAATGACATTCTTCACGAAATTTAAGCCATTTTTATCAAAATTAATAGATATATACAGTAGGTACACGAAACTACATGGTTTAAACTAAATTAAAAATAATAAGTGCATGTATCTTTTTAAGTAGTTGGAGAGTTTTATTAGAATTTCGTTTAATTATAATATGTAAAAGTGATTTATTTCTTGCACTTGTAACTGATTATTTTATTTTTTTTAATTTCAGAAAGTGTGATGAGATCTCAGGTTGGAGACGGTAATGATACGCTTAAAGTATGCCCCAGATCGACATAGTGGAGGAGGACGAAAGAAGCTAGAATACTAATGAAGATACATGAACATTGCTATTTATAGTTATAACAAAATGTTCAGAATATTGTTCCATTTAACATTCAGATCTAGATTCAGTTTTAAAATACAAAGACAAATATACATTTAGTGAGTTGGATAGATGATTGAAAAATCCCAAACTCAGAGTGATCAGTTCAGTGGTGATATAAGAAAAAACACATGCATGGATGTTTGCTTTATAAAATGTCAGTGTTAATATTCAAGAAGGATTTTGTTTAACATGCTTAATTAATACATGAAGCGTTATTAAAGTACATACCGTCAAGGTAAATAGTTAAAAAAATATTATGTAAATCTTGCATTTGTTATATAGTACCACATTTCTTGTTTTGTACTTGTGATTCCGAGTATAAAATAAATTGCTAAAATTATAAGAATGCTTATTTTTAACCCTATTAAAGAGCTTTAAAATGAAAAAAAATCATATTCCAAAAGTTTTGAATGAGGTTAAATCATTGGTTAGAAAATTTGGTCAGATAAGGTTGGCATATGGTCAGATAATGGTCAGAAAAGGTTGGATTATGGTCAGAAAAAGGTTTGATTATGTCCAAATAATGGTCAGAAAAGGTTGGATTATGGTCAGATAATGGTCAGAAACGGTTGGATTATGGTCAGAAAAGGTTGGATAAAGGTCATTTTATGACGTTGTATAGACGTTGGTTTCTGACATCTTAAAAACTTTCAAATCCAACCTTCTGCCAACGTTTACCCAACGTCAGGGTCTAACGTCAGTACAACATTGGTACAACGTCTTTTGTTTGCTGGGATACGGGTCCCAGTCCACCCCCACCCCCAAGACATGTCACAATCATGCAATTTTGAAGCACAAAGTGGTGATAATTCACATTAATGACTGTGTAATTTCTTAAGCGTAATCGCGTCTGAGCGGACTGTTTAGCTGATTTAATTTTTTATTTTAGCTCGGCGCCAGAAATTCTGTTCAGGTCTCAGCGTCCATGCCTGTCCGCTCTAGAAGTCTCATCGTAGACGCCCTTTTCATGCCGATTTTCCGTAACCTGGAGGAAAGACAGTACTGGCAATTTTTAAGGCACCATGACGGCAGCAAACATAAAACGGCCCTTAATTGTTAGCGCCACCCTCCCGAGTTAGTCACGACAAGTCAACCAATCTCAGACGACTTGACCTTGACCTGCCGCGTGCTTTCTCTGCGACGTGCACGACTCGGGAGGGATTTGGAGAAGTCTGTTTAGCTGCAAAGAAGAACATATCTTGTTAGTAAAAATAACCTGAGACAATACGAAAGGATCCATCCTTTTATTGCTTGATTGTTTGACATCAGTCATTCAATTTGTTAGATTTTGATTGGGAGAGATTTTTTTTATAGGCTATTGAGAACAGAGATACATTGTATAGGTTGTATATTCTAACAGATCTAAAAAATTCCAGATTAAGTTCAATAAAGTAACCAGTTCTGTAATCTTGAATGCAAATCGATCTTAATTGTGACTGCATCCGTATTAAATTGATAGGACCACGGATTTATACCGTGATAGGACTTATAAATGTTAAAATCTGTTTCTTGGTGTAGGTATAAACACAAACGTGCGTTTATATATTTTATTAAGCTAGTCCAGAGCTAATACATAGAGCAGACTACGTATATTTACTAAGCATGCGCAGTTAACATAATAACTAAAGCATCATGGGAAGGTCTGTACTTAGTATGTAAATCAAATACTGTTACATCTTTTCTCTTTTACAAAAATAAGAAGATATTTCCAATCTCTTTCAGTCATTAAAAAAATGATTAAGAAATACTTAAAAAAAAATAAACAAATCATGATCTCAAAATCATAAACTGTCAGAAAAATAAGTTGTTACTGTTAATAAAGAACATTTATACACAGTCTCACAATTTCTACAGTTTGTATATTATGTTACATAGTCCTTGTATTTCACTGGACCTGATCTCTGGTTTTAAGAGGTTCAACGGGAGGTAACTCATTACTGCTAGCATTCGTAGGTAATCGACAGTTTCTTCCCTTTCCTTTCGTTAGTTTTGCGAATCTGTTTAAACTATACTTCAATCTCTTTTCTTCTTTCTTTCTAATTGAAAATTTCTGTACAAGAATGAAACTTTTCTTTATCATTACAGGGTCTTTCAAATATTCTAGACATTTCGTTCTCAATTCTGATTTGTATGTTGAAATGTATGAATTTTGAACAATTATGCACTTTTAGCTCTATTCTTGTTCGATTTACAAATTCATACACCCTAGCCTAGATTAGTCAGAGATTCTGATACGCCTTTTCACTCAAATTTACCATAACGTTATCATACAAAGCCTTCCTTCCATATATGTTATCCATGAAAATGTATATATATGTCCGTATTTCTTCCCCTGGTACAAATCTGCGGAATGATTTGTGGAGAAACCGCTTCATGTGATTAAGAAGTTATTCCATAAGAAGATTGTAATCGAGGTCACACAAAGATAGGAAAAATGAAAATGGCTAAAATTGACGCTGAAGAATCAATTATACGTAGAAATCGTCCGGGAACAAAGGCACAGGTGAGTATTATCTGCATTTTAGTATAGTAATTGCAAGCATGGTAAAAACTGTAGATAAATTAGGCTTTGTTTGAAATGTTATGAGTTTTCGCGATGTTGAAAATATTTCTTTGATGTTTTTGTTGTTGCTTTTACCACTCAAGTTGTGTTTGGGTAGCTATGTAAACAATAAAAGTTAGAAATGGTGTTTTGCAGTTCATAATTTATCAGATACGTTCAACGAATCATGTTTTTGATGCATAAATAATAAAAAGATACTGATGTTTTTGTTTGAACAAATCACCAGCTGTCAGAACAGATTATGCTTGAAAATGAAAGCAGAATGCTTGAAAATGAAAGCTTTCGGTTATATTGTGTCCACATTTGCCATGATATAAAGCAATGGCTGATATACAGATTATGTGTATATGTCATGGTTCAGAGCTTATTCGGGGACGAATTTCAAAATAGCGCCATAGTCATGGTTCAGAACTTTCCACTTTTAGGGGAGAAGATAGATAAAAGATGTAAGCGGCCAAATAGCTCAGTTGGTAGAGTCACAGTATGGTATTCGGAGGGTGTCGGGTTTAATCCCTGGTCAGGCTGCACATTTCTCTCACCCTGTGACATATACATACCATATTGTTTTTTGTTACAACTTACACATTACATGTATTCATAGTTTTACACAGTTTTAGAAATATATACCAATTAATTGTAACCCTAGCCCCAAATCCCTGGAGAAAAGCATATACAGTCTGATAACAATCCCCTAATAAATGATAAATTCTCGTTTAAGTGCAACAATCAATGTTTTAATTGAAAATATTGATTTTTTTAGTTCACAATTACCTCCCTTCTCTTTCCGGTGATCATGTAAACAAGTAGATACAGATGCAGGATTTCCATACACATGTTTCCAAAATTCTACAATCTTTTGAAAAATAGTGTCAATCACAACCCTGCCTCGTAGAATAGACACTGGATCTAGCTGTTTTACGTCTCTTAACTTCTTTTTATTTCAAAAAAAAATTCATGCAAAAAAAACAACTGTGTGTTGGGGAGGGGGGGGATGTTGAAGATCCCCCATACACCTTATTTTTTCTATCAAACAAAGTTCATTTAAAATTTGCTTGAATATATCCTTCAAAATATTTAAAATAAATGTAAGGTGTCTTTGTTTAGATATCTGCTGAGCTTTCAGTCATAAAATTTGGTCAGTTTCAAACACTGTTCAAATGCCTTAATTGAGAAAATTTGCAGTACTTTGTTAGTAAATCCAGAGATGTAGATAATGTTATCTTTGTAGATGACTCTGGTATACCCAACAAATCTATTACATTAACAAAAATCATAGGGGATTGTTTAAAATTTAGCCATGCCAGGACATTGGGAACCAAATAATGTAATGCAACATCTATTAGGCATCTGAAAGCTGATGTTAAGTTTTGTCAATTATTAGACTTAGTAAATCATGTAAATTGTTGTCAGGGAGTAAAATTTACTACAGAAGTTTGTAGGGCTGGGGCGAGTATCCGAGTACTCGGATAATCACGAATCAAAGTGAAAAATCGAGTTTGAATATTCGTAAGCCCAGAGATCGTGGATTGCGATTTAATTTTTTTATATACAGTAACATTCACTGTTTCTCACACTCTTAAAGTCAAGAAAAATACTATTTGAGTTTAAATTATATGAAGTTTAACTAAATACAATTTTGCCAGTTAAAGATCATGTACCATGATGCTGAGCTAGGAAGTAATTGGTTTCAAAAAACAAAACAAAAATACTCCTCCAAAGAATAAAAACATAAACCTAGTTTATATGTTTAATGTTTAGTATTGTTTTATTTTTAATTCAACATGTTTTTATACCTAATGTACATGTTTTTATGGGTGTCTTGATAACAAAAGATTTGTGGTTCGATTTGTGAATCGTAAGTGCTGAATTGTGGTTCGGATCGGATCGTCACTTATCCGACGATCCACACCCCTAGAAGTTTGATTTGTGGTTAAGAACTAATCCTTGGGCTGTTTTGGAGTGACATGTATACAATGTAGGTATTGTCACCTCTTTCCAACTAACAAAGAGTTGCATATGTTGTATTTGTCAATATATGATAAGAACCTCTGGCTTACATCTTTACAGGGCTTTATTGATGTTATGAAAGCGGATTTAAGATGTAAAAAAAACAACAAAATGACTTGATAAATCACATTTAATACTTTAACACTGTATTGTATTAAAGATAAGGTGATATGGCTTTATTTGTATTTTATCTTTATATTGACATTCTTATGGATGATTTTGTAATAAGGCCTTAGGTTATATCATATGTCTTATGATATCCTTTGAACTATTTAGGACAGTTTACTTCATTTCAGATTTTGTAGTCAACTTTTAAGCTCCTATATTTACCGGTAAATAACTTTAAAATTAATGTAGAGGACGGTTGTTTAGATAGAAGAGGTAACTGATATGGCAGTCTTTGTCTACTAAGTTACTGGTAAAAACTGGTTATTGGTGCACAAGGATTTTATGGACCTTAAAAACAAAATATTATGTATCACATTGTTTTCTTATACATGACGTGTTCATATCATTTGCATACAGGCTTCAAGCTTTCCTTCAGACAAGACAGGGCCAAAAAACCTTTCTTTGTAGAGGCCGAATATAGGCTGCTTCCCCAACCAAACTACCCTCTTTTTTCTCCAGTTTGGTCCTCAAAATTCCCCAGTCTTTTGAAATTTCCTATAGAATTTAGAACAAAATTAAATGTTGGTGTTGAATAAAGGTCTTTTACTGCCTTATTAGTATTTCCGAGTGCTTTTTTGCTTTTCTATTTTGAAGAACTTGTTCAAAGTTTGTGTTAAATTTGAGACTCTTTTTCCCAAAGTATGCCAAAATCACACATATTTTCCCCAAGAAAAAGGCTGAGGCCTCTTCCCAAAAAATAGTGTTTTGGCCCTGCAAGAGTAGAAGTCTTGGTATAGGTGATAATCCAGTAATATTTTTCATAATCAGATAGGGATGTTATATTGTATTTATTTATGTATGTTGTTTTAGTCTTTTTTTTTAACAGATCAGTTCCAAATTGCAAGAAAATGCCTGCTTTTTCCCTGATTGAAAATTGTTCCAAATTCCATTATTATTCAAATTGTTTCAAATTCTATTTATTATTGAAATTCATTATAAGGCTGTTTTTGCTGCTGGTTTATTTTCCCAAATTTCCTATATTTCATAATGTCACATGTCTCAGAATATTCCCAATTACCCCAGACTCATTCCCAAAAGCATGAAAACAAATCTGCACATAGATTTGTTTTAAAAAATATCACATACATCAGATTTATTGAAGCATGCATATAAATGATTGCATGAGTGATACCTACTGTTTTAGTGAAAGATTGAAATATGTTTCACTTAGTCAACACCACAGATCATAAAAGGTGTTTCTTGTTTTAATTTAGGCATGGTGTAGTTGGCCAGATGAATTATTTGAAGAGATGGACAGCACCCTTGCCGTGCAGCAATTTATACAACAGTCTATTGCACGAGATGCCTCATGCGTTGATGAGATACTTACTCCACCAGATGGTCAAGACGAAGGAGTCTGGAAATATGAACATCTCAGGTATTGTGAATGATTAGAAACAAAATTGTAATTACATTCTTTATCTTTAATCAAAAGTTTTCTAACTTTCAGAGATTTTTACTTTTAGTACTTTTTTGTTAATAATTATGTAGGTTTATTCGCAGTTTTTGTGGTAAAAGTGATTTCAGGGCCTCGGAGTGAAAGTTCACATGATGAGGTCAAAATATGATATAATTACATTAGTCTTGATAACTTCTGAAAAGTTTAAAAACATTTTGTCATATGAGAAATATGTATAATTTATAATATATCATATTTTTAACCAGGTTTTCCGAAGGAAAAAACTGGTTATTAGATTGAGGTATGTCGGCGGGCGGATGGGCGGGCGGACGGGCGGGCGTTAACAATTTCATCTGTGCGCAACTCCTCCTACATTTCTCAAGGGATTTTGATGAAAATTTCACAGAAGCTTTGTCATCAAGTGCCCTGGTGCATATTGTCAGGGTTTTGAGATTTGATAATGTTTGACCTTATTATGGTCGTTTATCTTTTATCTTTATATGGAATATAGAGTGAACAATTCCTTCTGTGCGCAATTTCTCCTACATTTCTCAAAGGATTTTGACGAAACTTTAACAGAAGCTTTGTTGTCAAATGCCCTGATGCACATTGTCAGGATTTTGAGATTTGATAATGTTTGACTTTATTATGGCCCTTTGTTTTTGTTCCTTATATAGAATATATAGTGAGCAATTTCTTCTGTGCGCAACTCCTCCTACATTTCTCAAGGGATTTTGACCAAACTTTCACAGAAGCTTTGTCTTCAAGTGCCCTGGTGCTTATTGTCAGGGTTTTTAGATTTGATAATGTTTTATCTAATTATGGCCGTTTATCTTTTTTCCTTATATGGAATATAGAGTGAACAGTTTCTTCTGTGTGCAACTTCTCCTACATTTCTCAAAGGATTTTGACAAAACTTTAACCAGGTTTTCATACGGAAAAAAATGGTTAATAGATTGCAGTATGTCAGCTTACAGAAGCTTTCTTATCAAGAGCCCTTGCGCATATCATCGGGTTTTGAGATTTGATCATTTTTGACTTGTAGCAGTTTTCAGAAGATAACTCTTATCTATGACTAATGGATATACTGGTAACATAAAAAGGTAAGAATACAATCTGTTCAGATGATTATGCTTCATTAAGTTACTATTATGTCATATTTTGTAATTTAAAGTTATGTCATTGCTATTAATCTATTTTTATCAATAACTAGTAGATATATAATTATGATCAAGGGAGATAATCTTGATAAGTCTTACAGGTTTCCTTGACAACTAGGAAAGGGAGATCACTCATGTTCAGAGAAATAAGGGCTAAATATTTTCATCATTTTAACAAGTATTTAAATATTCTTATGATGATATTCTTAGTGTTTTTATTATTCACAGTATAAATATTATGTATCTTTAACAATTCTTCATTTCATGTAAATAATATTGTGTTTTGAACACATTCTAATGGAACAACTTTTTTGGGACTACTTTCACAAAAGTTTCTGGGATATTCTATTAAAAGAATTAGGGATGAATCATGTATCACTTTTGTTTTAAACATTGTACTAACTTAAATCATTATTTACTTTAAATTTGATATTAGAAATAATATAAGTTTACTATTTAGTATGTTTTGATTACATATTTGTCATTTTTAGAATGAAAATTACAGAATTCTAAATTTATAGATTTGACAAATTTAACCTGAATAACCTCTTTTAGACCTCATGAACCAATCCAAAGTTTGTGCCATTATTGTAAGGGAATTAATGACAACAATTAGTCAATGTTTTATTGTTTATTGATTTCATTATGTTCATTATCAATTTGTTTTGTATCTATTTATTGTAAATACATAATGTTATATAAAATATACACTTTTGTATGCAAGTATATGTTGATTAAGTAATTATGCTAAATCTTACATAACCTATTTAGGGGACAGTCCATTATGGTCATTTCTGATTGGTTGTTGAGATTTGCAGCATCTGTTGTGTAATGAATAGAGATGCTGACCCTTGTGTTAACACAGAACATTAACTTGGAAAGGAAGGATGAAGGAAACTTCAGGAAAAAAAGGTTAATATTTTTGGCATTTTGTTAATTAATTAGATTTCATATCTTTTAGCATTCTTTATCTTCAGCAGAGAATAGAGACTTAAATTCATTATGCTTAAATAAATGAGATCAGGGACTTTGTCACTTTTTACATAACAGAAAGGTGAATGTTTACACTGTAAACACAACAGGGTCTGTTGTATTATATGAAAATATACATTTGAATAGCCTGATCAATGGACCATAAGCCAACTGGTATTCTTCGGCTGAATAACCGCTTTCTGTGATCTTAGTTTAATATTTGTTGTTGTTTGTTTTTTCATTAAGTAATATTCAAATAACTTTTTAATAGAGAAACACTGGAACTATGTTAAATATAACAGGAAATTATAGATTGAACATGTTCAGAGGCTATGGTCCAGTCAACATTTATGCCAAGTTTCATCAGTATTGAAGCAATTTACATAGCTTCATAGCAGTTTGAACTTGTAACAGGAAGCTTTTCAATGAAAACAGCCATTTTTCACAATATGCTCATGCGGTAAAAGGTTAATCAAATTTTGAACATAAAATGGAGGTATGAAGGGCTGTAAAGGAGGTGGAGGCCGCAATATCTAAATAAAATTTTGATCTGTTCTTCTTTTACTTTTAGACGTTCATATGTGATAAATTTACCATGCTTAGTCAAATCAATGTTTTGAAACTAGTTATTACCTGACTAACAGCCGTAATTTACATCTTCTTTACCTTCAATCTAATGTGACAGTGTGTATTAAATTTAAACTGGAATAATAGTGTTTATCCAGTTGTGTTTTCATGTCAGGGCCATAGCTTTGTCATTCTGCTTGCAAGTTTGTACCTTGTAATATCATGATGCTGTGTTCATTGCGTCAAATTTGAATTTTGGAGCAGTCATTTTGCAGCAAAAACTTCAATCATACTAAATATGCATAGTTTACCAACACTTTAAGGAAATATCTGTTTAATTAAATATTTCAGTCTAATGTTTGATAACATCCATCTTACTCCTAATGTGTTTACATTTTAATAACGATTAAATAAAAATTTCAGACTCAAGGCTACTTGTTAAGAGTGAGAAATTTACCTGATTACACTGTTGCTCTCAACCCAAAATGCCCAAGAAAAATAGACCTAAAGGCTACAGAAATAGAACGAGACAGAATAGAGAACAAATGGCGCAGAACTCAGATGACAGTTCTAAGGTGGATAAACTGAATACTAGACATGTAAAAGGACCAGAATCTGGGGTAAACTGTTTTATATTAATTTACATTTAATTCATATTGACAAAATAATTTAGCCAAATCATGTTATATGATATACAGTTGAGTTCACACTAAACTTCCCACCCTTGTGCACTTCTAGTGCACTAGAGCTGAACTAGAAGTGCACACTGTGTACACTTCCAGTGCACTAGACCATATTACCAGACTGGCCAGGGAAGGTGACACCTAAATGGTTTTGGATAATTGCATATCAAGTGACAGGGGGCATCCATTGTTAAGCTGCTGTAAGAAAAAAGCTTTGGGAATATATGGCCTATTCATGAATATAAATAAGTAAAATCGGCAGTTTTAACATTTTAGGTGATATCATGTTAAAGCTTAAAATTGCTTCTTTTTTTTATTGTAATTATATTTTTATTATCCTGTATTTAACAGTTACTGTCTTAAAATAAAATTTATGAAATTAATAAGGTTAGATTTAAATATGCTTATTTAATGGATAATTAAATAAGTGTTTTTTTTTATAATTTTAAATTTATAAAGCTTTTTTAATGGCCATGTATTTCAATTTTTCTAGTGAACAAATGGAAAAATCAATGTGATAATTCGGGCCCAATTCATTTATTTTGTAACAACATAAACTTTTTTTCATAAGCTCAAACAAATCAAGGAAAGGTTTATATTTAAGCTAAAATATTATTTTTATATAAAAAATAACTTATAGATACAATTCCTCATGTTTAATATTGAAATAGCATGTTCAAGATTGAAAAAGAATAGTATTTCATTGATTTTAAAACAATCCATACACTGTGATATTATGTTTTTCAACCATGAAATGCTTGCATACTTTTTAAAGATATAAATAATTAAAAATTTTCCATGACATAAATAAAATTGATAACTTAATTCAAGATTTCTATATTAAAAATTTAATGTATAAAGGGATAGATGTAAAGGGAATGCTTTTATACAAGAGAAAAGTCTCAAGTCATGCTGTGTATTGGTATTTTTCTGAGAGCGACTGTTTTCATTACACTGGTCTCCTGCTGATAAGAGGGCCTCAGGGTAAATAACAAAAATGCAGATGAATGCAATATTTATGTAAAATTTCCTGTTTTTTTTTCCCCAAAATACATGTAAGACATAGATAAATGATTATATTTTTGTATAATCAAAAGTAAAAATAATCATAATGGCATAAACGCATGTTAGATATTATTGTCATTATTGTTTTTGAAGTGGAATTTTCTAATCTTATCATAAAAAAAACTGGTTTAAAATCAATATCAGTGTTAACTATTTTAGAAACTTAAAAAGACCTCATATCAATATTTATCCACATTTCTTGCAATTCTGCATTAAAAATTGCATATTTTACTTTCTGAACTGGGAAATGTTAATCTTTTCTATTATAGACTTGACAAATTTGCCTTGTCAGTTTTAACACATTTAGAAGATAATTTATTTTAAAGAAAATATTTAAATACATGATTATAAAACTTTTGCAACTTCCTTTTCACTTTAATGCAGATCTGTTTTTTTTTTTAAATATTATACATGAGCAGAAAAACTGTTACAGAAGATTAAAGTGTCAAAAGTCATGCTGTGTATTGGTGTTTTATAGTACCCC